TTCATATAATATAAGTTAAAAATATACTTACTCAACAAAGCAAAATAAAGTAGCGTATATCTGAACCCCGGAGTTATATAGGTACAGAGAGCAGCACGTGATATGAACAAGATTCTATTTGGTATAGTATAACAGATTATTAAAGTGTTTTACCGGATACTTATGCAAATTTAATTGGTATTCTGATCTGTCATATGACTGATCTTGTATTGATAATCTTTTTAGGGTACGATCACGAATTTATATATATATATTCGATAAAATGTGTTATTGGACACTAGGATATTCGTGTTTTTCACCAGACCATGAACCATGAATGATGAAGAGTAGAGTGATGTACTAAGAATTTTAAAAGAAGAAGTGTCCAACTAGTTTGATTGTCATGGCCTTGCTCTAAATTCACCACAGAGACAGAAACTGTCAAAATAGCTATGAGAGGTTGGACTACTGTTCACCATCACCAGCCAACATCAATAGATTCATAATAGCTATAAGAGGTTAGACTACTGTTCACCATCACCAGCAACATCAGTAGATTAAAAATAGCTATAAGAAGTTGGTCTACTGTTCACCATCACCAGCTAACATCAATAGATTCATAATAGCTATAAGAGGTTAGACTACTGTTCACCATCACCAGTTAACATCAATAGATTCATAATAGCTATAAGAGGTTGGACTACTGTTCACCATCACCAGCCAACATCAATAGATTCATAATAGCTATAAGAGGTTAGACTACTGTTCACCATCACCAGCTAACATCAATAGATTCATAATAGCTATAAGAGGTTGGACTACTGTTCACCATCACCAGCCAACATCAATAGATTCATAATAGCTATAAGAGGTTGGACTACTGTTCACCATCACCAGCCAACATCAATAGATTCATAATAGCTATAAGAGGTTGGACTACTGTTTACCATCACCAGCCAACATCAATAGATTCATAATAGCTATAAGAGGTTAGACTACTGTTCACCATCACCAGCCAACATCAATAGATTCATAATAGCTATAAGAGGTTAGACTACTGTTCACCATCACCAGCTAACATCAATAGATTCATAATAGCTATAAGAGGTTGGACTACTGTTCACCATCACCAGCCAACATCAATAGATTCATAATAGCTATAAGAGGTTGGACTACTGTTCACCATCACCAACCAACATCAATAGATTCATAATAGCTATAAGAGGTTGGACTACTGTTCACCATCACCAGCCAACATCAATAGATTCATAATAGCTATAAGATGTTAGACTACTGTTCACCATCACCAGCTAACATCAATAGATTCATAATAGCTATAAGAGGTTGGACTACTGTTCACCATCACCAGCCAACATCAATAGATTCATAATAGCTATAAGAGGTTAGACTACTGTTCACCATCACCAGCCAATATCAGTAAATCAAAAATAGCTATAAAAGGTTGGACTACTGTTTACGACATCAGTTGCTCACTACATAGATATGTCTCAATGTTAACCCTTGACTTATCGCTTCGCTAAAAAATTAGAACATATTTCAATATTGCATCGGAGTTCATATGCACATAACATTCTTTCAAAGTATGATGACACTTCCAAATCGTTTTTCTTTTTTTTACATCTAACCGTTGCTTTCACAAGCTGTTATTCGCGTCACTTATCTTGGTTGGTAAAAAATATACTTCTCGACCAATCAAATTCCTTCGAACAAAATATTTTTAATTTCTTCACGTTTAATTAACCAGATGCAAGATTTTAGTACCAAATTACTTTCTGATAATAAAGTCTCAAAGTTCTCGATTGAGTTATTGCCATAATGTGCCAAGTGCCAAACAGCTATGATTGTTTTCAGAGCACGATTGTAAAAATAATCCACTACAATCTTTAAACTTCCACGAAATATTCACAATTATTCGAGATGACTTTCGGATCAATGATTTGTCAAAGCAAGTACGACTACACATAGAAGTTATGTCCCCTTCCATTTCGGCATTTCCGAAAAAATCACACCCGAAAACTTTGAAAATTGATTTAAGATGGGGAAGAGGCGTTAGTGTTCTCTGAACTTTGTAACGAATATTCAGTGTAAGTACCTTTCTGTGAAGTTTCACAACGATCGCCTATCGATAACGGGGTTGATGCAAAAATGCATCAATTCCCGATGATACGATGGAGGCCGCCATTTTCAATCACCATCCTTATACTCCCAAATAAATGTTACGAGATTCCAAACGGCCCAACATGAAAGTTACGCATGAGTGGATAAACTGAATAAATCTTCAAAGGGGGGCATAACTTTCTAAAGACGAAAATATGTGATTGTGAAAGCAGCGTTAAGCCTGCCACAGACAGTAACAAGCTGAGCTGCCTGCCTCAGCTCAATTTTTAGAGAGGCCAGAAATTCACCATGTGCGGGCGTCTAAGCTGCCAGCTCAGCTAACCAATAGAAACGCGTTGACGAATCACGTGGTATCATTATGGTAAACCGTGAATGATGTAATTTTAGATGATCAATTTGCTGAACATGGCAAGACAACCCTTGTCTCTAAGCTGTTTTTCTGACGAATTCCAAAACAGGAAAATGAGGCAATTTTGATCAGTTACATGGCACAGATGCAGTCCGAACGTCCTTCGATGACGTACGGATTTTGCCGAAGATTTTCTAGTGAGACAATAGCTAAAACGAGAGCTCTCGTCTGCGGTGAAAAATGTGCTGAGAATGTTGCTCAGCCTCACATATCTTCAATAGTACAGCGTTGCTAATGGAACGTACCCAAAAGTCAATAAAGTGTAGATGCATTACGTGTACACTATCGTCACAAATGGCAGACTATTACGAACTAAAACGAGTCTAAAACCTAGACTGCTGCAATAGCCACCTTTCTTGCATCACAGACTTTTTAAATGCAGCGACTTGATTGGATTCAACGCTAGCGATTACATCCAATCAGGGTTTTCTATGACGAAGGCACTGTGACTCTGATTGGCTGTATATGCTAGCAATCCAAAAACATCACTGCGTTCGTAATAGCTAGGCATTGTGAAGATGTGTGTATACGTGTATCACTGTATCAGTATCCTATAAGAAATTAATTATGCTTTTATTGTCATAATACTTTTGATATTTGTTATTGGAGTTTCAGGTATCTGTATGAAATTAATGAACACTGGTGTATGATGATTTTGGCATCTCTTATGTCAGATTTCACAATTAGTTCTACTGTGTAAAATTGATTTCTGCGATACAGATTGATATCAGAAAGGAATTTGTTCTTTCATTTCACAAATATTTAAAGTGATACTGTCTTAGAATTAACATAAAATTAAGAATTTTAAACTGGCGAATAAGAGCCAGTAGATATACGTGGTGTCATAAATAACATAACAAGATCCTTATATAATCCGATAAATCCAAAATACTTCGTAAGTATCCATAAATATGCAATTAACTATTGAAAAACTCTTAATATCAATATTATGCGTTTTTCAATAATTACTTAGTTTTATGAATTTTCCAATTTTCCAGATTTTACAGGGATTCTGTTGTAACTTTTTGACACCAGATATGTTCACTGATGAATATATACTCATATCAAATTTTTAATGTTTTATTTATGTTTATTCTAAGACGTAGTATCACTTTAAAATGTATATAAATGTAAATCAATATAAGGATTGATGATTCAGCATAGGAAATAAACACACTTCCCTCGAATTGCTGATGTAAATAAGTCGATTTCGGACTAAAAATTATCTTCTAAAGACAATCCGAGACTCTCTTTCTAGTTAATATTTCAAATGATATAAGTAATGCAAATATTCAGAAGCTTAAATGCTACTGCTAGAAAATGACAAAGCAAATCTGTCACATGGAAAACTTGTCATAGACATAATAATAAATTGATCACAGTAATATGATCACAAAGTAAATTGTTTGCCATGTGACCATTCTTTTCTTCGTTATATTTCAAGATCGAATCTCTCGAGTGATATGATCAGTAACAGTGCAACGTGGAAATTTTACTATACATGCAAGAGAACTTTTCAATGCCAAAATATTGCTCCATGAACAATTTAATATAGATTCTAATGATATATCGCTTTATATCATTTCGATTGTGCAAATTGCAAAGCGATAAAGAAATGTTTAGTATATGTAGAAATACATTGAAAGTCAGAATTTGAAATAAATCCTTCACATTTTCACCATGCTCAGCTCAGCTCAGAAAATAGTCGTTGCCCCAGATATTACTTGTTCGAACAATCAAGTGTGGCTACGAACCAGTTATAGAGTGTTCTATTAATGTATATAAAAAAAACATAGATAAGAAAATAATATAGTTACAATATAGTAAATACTACGCATAATATTTGTATATTGTATGGTGTATAGATTCTTACTGAACGAAAAATATTAATTTGACCATATATTGTTACCAAATTACCGCACCCATTTCTATTTGAATTAAATGAAACCAAACTGATATTTTCTTTTGAATTTATTTCTTTTGATATTATGTTCAGAATTTAATGTTACTGTGTTTTTGTGTGGCTTTTACGTCAAAATATTCCATATTACAAGTTTGTTCATCAAACGACGAGTCTTTTCGTTTGTTGGGAACCTCTTTTGGGGTCACTCATACATGTCATGTCATACATTTCATTTAGTGATAAGGATGCTATTAATATTATTTTGGCTGTATCAAATTAATGAATTTACCGTTGTTTTGATTGGTCAAGGATACCATCTCAAACTGAATCATCTCATGGAAATCAAAAACACTGCAAATAATTATTATTAATATGTTATTCTTACAGTTCAGCAGAAATTGACCCCCATCATGGCAACCTCGATACCCGTTGTAGACTTTCAAAAATATGGATTACATAAAAAAAATGAAACGGAGATCACCAACGCAGATTTAAAGAAGATTGGAGATAAACTTATTGCGGCGTTTGATTCTATTGGATTCTGTTATGTTATAAATCATGGAATACCACAAGATTTGGTAAGTACGAGTATTCTGGGACATAGCGCCTGCCTGATAATGAGCGAAGTTTGTGGTTTGCTTCGTAATTTTTCGGTTCCAAGGCGATGAAAAACAATTTCAAATGCCTTAAAGGAATGAAGAGAGTTTATCTAGCCTCTTTATGTGTATAAGGGACACTTTTGACATCTATAAGACATTCCGATTCTTCGTCCACTGTCTGTGGTTTCTGCAATTCCAGAGATGGTTAACTAGAAATGACGTAGCTCCTAGAAGAGAATATCATTATACCACAATAGCATTAATATGATGGTAACGAATTCTCTTTCGGTAGCTACGTCGTTTCCGGTTAACTCTTTCTGGAATTGCAGGAACAGGGATTGGACGAAGAATTGGAATATCCCAAATAAAAGTCAAAGGTGATCCGATACACATAAAAAAGCTAGATAACCGCTTTACAATCCCTTAAAAACAAATGTGCATTTCACCTGGATTTTTTAATAAGGATTATTCATAGATTTCTCTCCGAATGATTACTTGGAATCTTACGATATTCTTTATGTTTCAGATAAGTCAGATATTTGGAGTCTCAAATACATTTTTTGACTTACCAACAGAAACCAAGATGAAATATGTTCGTCCTAAAGACTCAGATATGGACCATGGATATGTCAAGATGGAAGCTGAGAGGTATTTAATCACTGATGTTTTTTTATTGTGTTTCTTAATCTTCCTTATTGTATCTTTTGACTATCTCTACTGTGTCTGTCGACTGTATACTGTGTCTGTTGTCTCTCTGTACTATGTCTCTCGGCTCTATGTGATGTCTCTTGACTTTCTGTACTATGTCTCTTGACTATCTCTGTAATGCGTCTGTCTCTTTTATCTCTGTAATGCGTCTTTTGACGCTTTTGCTGTGTCTTTTGATACTCTTAGTTATGTCTATTTACAATTTTACTATGCCTATTTTGTATCTTGGATCTCTCCGTTAAGTCTTGTTCCATTTACAGTTTTTATTGATTCTCTTCCAATTTCAGTTTGAATCCTGAAAGACCAGGTGATAACAAAGAAGCTTTTGATTTCGCACCAAGTCACCAAAAGGTGAATAAAAATGATATTTCTCTGACGAACTGTCTTGAAGGGAAGGAAGCAATACATCTACCATGTCTCCAAAATTTGTGAAAAACACATAGTGCAACATGTTTGCTCTGCACCAATACTCTCTTCAGTATAAAAACTCGTTGTTACTTTGCATCAAAAGGTTCATGAAAGAGATCCTTTAACAAACTTCAGATACACTGCTTTTCGCCTTGTTTCTTATGTGGCCCAATTTTTTTTTTTACAGTTTTGGCCGAATAAAGAAGTTCCAGAGATGAAAGATATATTTCAAAAATTTTATGATGAATGTAAACAAATGGCTTTTCGTATATTTGACGCCTTTACTTCCGGTTTGAACCTCGAGGTAAGTCTTCACTAGATTGGTTTCAAAGTTATCTATGAAATTTGAATTGATCTGTAATTGCCTCTTTGTATAGTTATGATTTATGAATCTGTTGACAGAATTAATATGGCATCGATATATGTACATATTTGATGTATAAATATTTGACCCCCAGGGGCACATAACAAGCGTTTTCGTAATTTTAAGATAATCGCAAATGTACAAATTGGAGAACATATTTATTAATGTTACGTGTTTCTTAAAGCAAGCAATCCGAAAATTGTTGTGAGAGGTTTTCAAGTTTTTGAACATTGTCAACTAAAAATCCGTACTGCTGCATGTTGATTGGACTCCTACTGACAGGAACTCAAACACTTATTTTTTATGACTTGTAGGATAGAAATTTTCTACGGAATAGTCATAAAAACATTGGACGAGATGGTAATTGTACTATAATCAGAACAAATTGGTATCCACCATTACCAAAAGACGGAAGTGAGTACTATTATCAATGGTTTGTAGAATTTTGCCATAACTGTTTGTTTTTTTTTATGTGTATGGGGACACTGAAAGCATCAATTTGCACTATTCCAATTTTCAATCTGACTAACTAACTGACTGACTGAAAATCTGAATGGTACAAATTGATGCTTTCAGTGTCCCCGATACGCATAAAAAAATTAGAAAATCTCTATAACAATCCTTTTGATACGACGAAATTGGATTGGGAGTTAAACTCCAACATCTAACATCTGATATTACTTGCTACAAACGTTTTGATGTGCACTAGTGTCGATGTTTTTCTCCATGGTTTCAGGTATAAAACCAGGCCAAGAACGTTGTGGAGAACATAGTGATTACGGCTCAATGACTCTTCTGTTTCAAGATGGTATTGGAGGGTTAGAGGTAATTATTGTCCTACACCCTGCACCCTTGAGAGTTTGTAAATGCTGTGGTGATCGTCGTGGTAATTCAAACTGCAGAGAGAATGCCAGGAATCCATTCCTTGACGGCTTGATATGTTATCTTTAACTAGGCGGGGCCCAGGTGTATTGTCCTATCCCAATGCCAAGACGCTATTCAGCCCTGTAGGACGACTCCATTCACAGATGTTAATGAGATAGATAAAGACCTTAAAGGACGGTGTATTCAGTGTTTTATAAAATGGAACCTAGTTTATAAAATGATATTCATGTATCTGTCAAAGCAAAAGAGTGTATTGTGTAATCTCTATGCTTAACATAATGTTTAATATAATATATGATTTAAGCAACTGCTATGTTCATTAATCTTGCAGGTTTGTAACAAGAATGGTGATTATATACCAGCTACTCCTGTACCTGGTGCTATTTGTGTTAACATTGGTGACTTGATGCAGAGATGGACAGCCGATAAACTCAAAGCTACTGTAAGAAATTAAATTATTTTTAGTTAAAGGGGAGGAACTCCGAAACGTTTTGCTCACAATATCCATTGCCACTTTTGTTCACATTTGGATATAGACTACGCTATATTTCGAAGACCTTTACAGGAAAGATCAGATGGACTTTTCTTAAGTTGCATGCTGTGGCGTTTCTAAGAATAATTAGGTAACTACCCCTTGATACGTCCAAATATTACCTTTCTTAGCATACATCCTGGAGACAATCTTGTAAGGAGACACTCTTAGAATGCGTCAAGAGATCTTTCATTTGTCCTAAAAAAAAGCCCTTTGAAAATGTTACCTTTCTTATGATAATTCCTGAAGACAAGTTTTTATGGAGATATTCTCAGAATGCGTCAAGAGATCTATTTTATTAGTACACACCCAAGAGACCCCCTTGTAAGAAAACACGACACCCTTATGAGGATACACCATGTATCTATGGATACATCAAGATAACACTATTGATTGATCTATACCTGTATTGTATGAATGTTTCAATGCATATGTGCTTTCATTTCAGAAACATCGTGTGCTCATTCCAGAAAGTGAAGTTTTAAAGAATAAAGGGAGGCAATCCATAGCATTTTTTATCCATCCTGACGTTGATCGTGTTATAACATGTTTGGATGGATCAGATAAATATAAACCTATATTAGCATCGGATTATCTGAAATTAAGATTTTCACTAACTTATCTATAGTAACATTACTCATTATAATCAACTTGTTCAAAATCAATTTGTTATTGTTAGTTGTTTTACGCCTGTGGCGGCGCCGGCCTCCCGAGACTATGTAAGGGGATATAGGGAGTAGACTGGCGGGACAAACTATCCAAGTTGAAATTCGAAATGCGGCAGCTCTATGGAAGCGCCATAAGGTCCATGGAGTGTCTAAAAATGGTTGTTAATCAAGAAACTTTTTGAAAAATAGAGTTGATGATAGGGCCTTCTGACACACATTTTGAGTCGAAACGTATATAAATGATATTATATTTGTTAGAAATCTTTGCTGCCGCCGGTTTGAAGAGATAAGAACACATTCTTTTCAAGTAAATATTCCGAAGTAGGGTTTGATTTTCTATCGGCTTCAATTCTTTTACGAAAATCGTACTCAATTCTGTACCGTAACTTACATATTCATTAAAATATATAATGGCTCGCTCGCAAACATAGCGTCATAACGAGTGATTTGTTTTGATTGGCTGAAAATTGCTACAGTAGGGCCAATTTTGATTGGACAATAATATTTATCTATGAATACGTAATAATAATAATATATTTATTCAGAAACTTCAAGGCTGTTAGCCTATAGTAGGTTTGTTACAATTATAATTATATACATGTACAAAAATTGAACAACATATAAAACAAATGCTAATATGTCGATACAAATAAGACTATAGTAGGGTTGTTTCATTTGTAAAAGAATGTATAAAAATTGGAGAATACGAAAATATAATACACAATATACAATAAAATATAATTTATATATATGAACATTTATAACCACATGTCGATATGATCATTTATGTTTTTTTTGTATAGTTAATACTGTAGAATTTCTTTTCTTATTTCCATACCTTTATTAATAAATATACTTAGATTTCGTATTATTTTGTCATCGTTACAATTGAATAGTTTGATAAGGTTATGCTCATTGGGATTTTGGTAGCACCATTCAGGCAAAAAATTATACCTCAAATCATTTAATACAGGACAAAGTAGGATGAAATGTATTTCATTACCATGTTGTTTTGTATTACATATTGTACATATCCTGTTGACTCGTGCGACATTGTTACGTCTACCATTAGGCCAGTGCATAATATCCATTTGCAAAATTTATCCTGGACATGTTCAATATCCCATCTTGACTCAGTACCCCATAGTTCAGCCCCATAAAATAATATCGGTACAACCATAGAATCAAATAGTTTGAATGCAATTGTAGCATTTCTAGATCCTAAGCTACTCAGGACGTGTTTAATGGTATTCAAGGCCTTTGTTGCTTGCTGAGTCAGAGTTTTGCAACGTTTAGTCCAGGATAACCTATTCGTAAAGATTACACCTAAATATTTGTACTGACTCACTACTGAATACGTAATATTTCTCATTTGTGTTACTACGGACCGGAGGCAGTATGACGAATGGGGGTGTGGTTTGGACACGATGATTTGAACTATACTTTTGTGATTTGAGAAAGGAAACAACCTTCAAATCCAATTATTGTTGTTGCATATTAATTTGTTATTTTATGTGTTATATAATTTTATATAATAAATATTTTTACCATATTGAAAAAAGATATAATTGGCGAAAATTTGCATTTTTAAGAACGAAACGAATTCAATTGGAATATGTATCTCAATTGCCGTCACCCATGTCCGTCTGTCCGTCCAGATTTGATCGTAGACACTCTAGAAGGCACCATATTTGACTAATTTTGAGGAAACCTGGTATGATTGTCTGTAATTGTTTTTTCTATCAAAAAAAAAAGAGAAATCGAAAAATATTTTGTATGAGTTATTGCCCTTGTTCTTGAAATGTTCGTTAACATTCGCAATTCTTGACGAACTTTGATGAAACTTTATTGAAAATCAGAAAAATCGAAAAATAATTAGTATGAGTTATTGCCATATTTCTTGAAAACGGGTTCAATTTTAGTTTGTAAACACTCTTTAAGGTTCAATTATTAACAGATTTTGACGAAACTTATCAACAAGGATGAACCCTATCGAAAATCAGAAAAATCGAAAAATATTTAGTATGAGTTATTGCCATTGTTCCTGAAAAATGCATTCAATTTTTAACTCGTAAACACTCTTTTTTAAGTTTTTGCATGCCAACTATTCGTCAGATATCTGTTGCCAGTACCAGAATTTTCTTGTCGATCATATTTGTTTGCCAGATACAAGCCTGGGTATTTGTCAGAAAGTTTTCAACGAGATTTCTGTTACAGAAAGTTGAATTTCTTGATTGAAGGAAAGATTTAAATTGAATTGATTTGTTTACGTTACCGCTGTATTATCAAGAAACGCCAGAGCACAGAGCATTGTTCCACACTGACACTTGGACGAATTTTGTACGTACAATGCCGCGCAGATTCGCAGCGGAGCCCAGCATTTGCGGTCTGTTCGCTCACTGGACACGCATAAATAACGCACTGTATACGCAATGCACGACCAAAATATTGGCCGAAATGACAATGACACTCACAAGCTTTAATTGTGTCTCACTGGTTAAATAACATTGTCCACAAACGCCTCGCTCCATTGCGAAACACCGAATTTTCACGACCTTTCGGACAATCATTATGCAAGCGCAAATGTCAGAGTGACTTTAATCCCGTTGACATTTCGAATCTACTCAGTGTCATTCGTCTTAATACAAGCTAAACTACGATCAACAGGCGTGATAAGGGTCAGACTGCACATTACAAAGTTAATCGTATACATCATGGCGACTTCAATACCCATTGTAGATTTTCAACAATATGGATTACATATAAAAAATGAAACGGAGATCACCAATGCAGATTTAAAGAAGATTGGAGATAAACTTATTGCGGCGTTTGATTCTATTGGATTCTGTTATATTATAAATCATGGAATACCACAAGATTTGGTAAGTAAGTTCAGTTATGTTTTGTTTTGTATCGATTATCTATTTCAAATAATGCATCGAGTATTTCTTGTAAATGAAAATGAAGACCAAGACAGATCTGATCACCCCTAGAATGCCTTCGAAAAAAAGCTTCGGCGGTGGCTCCTCCCAATCTAAAGACCTTCAATCGCCACTGTACTATTTCCTATGCGATGCTCATAACTATATATCACTTTAGCCTACTTAACATAAAGGAGCTTGTATTTATACAACTTGTTCTTCATTCAATAAACAAAACATAACGAAGTGATTTGTTGCTTTCTAATGGTGATATCAATTGAATGTAATTTTTGGAAAGAAAGTTATTCGATTTTACACTGCATTTGGTTTCAAAAGAGCCGTTTGTATAAGTAAAAACTCCTTATTAGTTCATGATTTATCTTTGGTAGTCTTGACTTCCCTATGCTTGAATGGCCGACAAAGTGACAAAAGCCCTCATGAAATGAAGACGGTAGGACAAAATCTTTTATGATAGAAATGTTATCTTTGGAATAACTTTATAACCCATGACCCTTGTATGAACCATGAACCTTAGCAATTAGTGTATATTGGCAACCGACCAAGAAAATAAAATAAAAGGGACTTTTTTGTAGGTCTAAAATTCTTTTATTCAAATTTGTGAAAAATCTAGCGAAATATGCCCTTTAACGTATCTGAAAGTTTTAAACGCCAAAAATATTTAAAAACATAACGTAGTGTTTTTTTTAGTTCGTTATGTCTATTAAGTATTCTGAATATCAATTGAATGTAATTCAATTCTGAAGATTTCAGCTAATAAAATCGAGCCATAATAAATCTAAGCACTCAATCTAGATCAAACTGCTTAATTAACAATTAGCACTATCCGTTTTTAATTAACCCTTTTAAAACAAATTCAATTTGACCAAGAAGATACATAGATATAAAAAACATACTATAAAAATATTTTCAGGTATAATTTACTACGTTTTAGATAATGAAATCTTTTTGAAAAAGCGGAATACCCCTTAAATGGCGATTGAATAATAATAACAATAATTATATAAATTTTCGTTGAGCACCAAAACATAGTTCTGGGTCCTAAGTACTCACCGGTAGTGTTCCATTCTGACAATGCAAATAAATAAGTTTTGTTCGGATATGGTACCACAGTACGGTTCTCATTTACAAACAAGCTGTAATGGTTTGGATTATATATCCAAAACCTTGCTGACAATCGAAACCCTCCTGACGAAAGATTCTTTATGTTTCAGATCGAGAAAATATTTGGAGTCTCAAAAACATTTTTTGATTTATCAACAGAAGCGAAATTGAAATATATTCGTTCGAAAGACATTGCTGACAACCATGGATATGTAGAGATGGGACGAGAAAGGTATTATAGATATTCACTGAAATAATTGCCTTTTTTTGACGGGAATTGTTTTTAGTTAAGTCAATCAGTCATAGTGTTAACAGCCCACAGTCGAAATGTGAGCCTTCCAATCCATGTGTGTCTAGAATTATCCACGTTTAAATGTTAAAATGATGACTCGTATATGTGATATGTAGAAAAAACATATATAGAAATAGTGAGTAAAATTCCTGCTTTGTATTTTTAAAGGAATTATGCGACGATTTTCGTACATTTTTTCTAGTACTTTGGAGATTATTTACATATATTCAAGACTAAAATCAAGACTAAATTCAAGACCCAGCTTTAGGTGGACTAGCTATAGCTCAAGGGGCTAGAGTGTTGATTTCTTGTCTTCCTTTCTTGTCCGCTTTTTCAAAACCATTAGGCTACACGGGCATGTTCAGACAAAGTTAGGTTTCAATTTCTTTTCAACAGTTTGAATCGAAAGAATTATTTCAATCACCGACCAATCGCTAAAATCCGTACAGCTGCTGGCTGTTGTCCGTGTTCTAATTTTCAGCGATTATCTTTGCTCTTATCATCCGATGCACGTCACTCTGCGACTATTTCAGACAACATAAACATGCGAAGCCTTAGTCACACGGTCACGCGTACAAAGCCAGTTACTTTTGATGTACGTACAGAAGAAGTGACGGACGACTTGATGATCTCAATTGCCGCAATTTCAATGTAGGTCTCTAATCTTACGCATTCGCTGCCCCTTTGGCATTAACATTATTTTATTGGTAATGATAAATTCTCTGTTTCAGTTTAAATCCACAACGACCTGGTGATTGTAAAGAAGCATTTAATTTTACACCAAATCATGCTAAGGTAATTTTTTAATACTGATATTGCTGTATTGATTCGCAAAATTTCCATTATTAAAGGTGACATCCCTCAAATTTGTTCTCCCCAAATCAAAAACCGATTAAGAAAAAGTCATAGTTTTTAAGTATGTATGTATGGGGCGTATGAGAACAAAATTGGAACGTGTTTAGATTTAGGAAATCTTTCCAATGTTTTTTTTATTACAGTTTTGGCCAACTAAAGAAGTTCCAGAGATGCAAGATATATTTCACAAATTTTATGATGAATGTAAACAGATAGCTTTTCGTATATTTGATGTTTTTACATTAGGTTTAAAACTCGAGGTGAGTCTTGACTTTATCATACTCTTTAACTTTGTAAGGATAAAATTGAATTCATTGAGTTGAAAATGTACTCATTCCTGTAGACAATACGAGTATCGTCTAAATATTTTGCACCCAACTGAAAGAACTACATTTCAGCTGTGCGTATCAACTTTAATATTCAAAATGTGACGTATATTTAGTCTGTAATTTTAGAAAAATAGTTGGGATATTCATTGAACTTGTTTTATTGTTGACAATCTCTATAGTTTTTACTATATGTTTTTTTTAAGGATAGAAATTTTCTTCGCAATAGTCATAAAAACATTGGTTGTGATAGGAATTGTACTACTATAAGATCAATATGGTATCCACCATTACCAAAAGACGGCAGTAAGTACCTATCTGTAGAAATCCCTGTCGTAGAAGATACTGTCTTTAGTTTTACATGAGGTTAGACCAGGGTTTCTCAAATAAATGAGCTGACGTGCCACTTTTCATCGCGTGCCATTTTGCAATCTTTGATGCGCAACAAATCGCGCAAGTTGAGGAACCCTGGGTTAGACGCAGAGGTGGGATGCATGATTATTTTTGTTCGACTACATTCATAAACTTTGCTTAAACGTTTGCTCATTAGCCTACTAGGCTGAGCGTCCGAAATGTGAAATTTTTCATCTGACTCCGACAATGATGCAAGAAACTTACGTGAAAATAGCGTCTTCGGGTAGGACAATAAGACCATTATTATGTCACTAGCATTTGCATTGGCTTGCTATTCTAATATATTCTCCAACAATATTTGTTTCAGGCATAAAACCAGGCCAAGTTCGTTGTGGAGAACATAGTGATTATGGGACATTGACGCTACTATTGCAAGATGGTATCGGCGGTTTAGAGGTAAGTGAAGTTCGGTTATGAGCCAGATTGACAGCCTCTCTATACCAAGACTTGCAAGCTTCAGCACTGATCCGGCAGTCATATCGACTATGTAAGCGAAGTAATAGGTGAACCATTTCTATCATGTACAAGAAGATATTTATCAGATATCTATTCAAAGGCAATTATAGTTTTTTATTATTTCCTCTTGATAATTTTGGAGGCAAGGGATCAATTCTTATTTCAAAAGATCAGATATTTGAATAAGACAACTGGAATGTTCTTTAAATATTGCAGGTTTGTAACAAGAATGGTGATTATATACCAGCTACTCCTGTACCTGGTGCTATTTGTGTTAATATTGGTGACTTGATGCAGAGATGGACAGCCGATAAACTCATAGCTACTGTAAGATTAAGATACCATTTTCAGACAAAATATCAACTCAGTCGATGGTTTTATCAACCGCATGCGGGAATACTGATCTCCTCCTCGAGCTGCAGAGCTGACATTCCTTTTCAGTCGCACTTCATTTCTTAAAAATTCAAAAATATCATCTTTTACATATATTTGCCCCAAACTATGTGTCGGAATGCACCAGATCATCTCTTTTCTTTTAATTTTGTGGAAGAACCCTTTTAGTACTCTACTGGCGCTTCCACCAAAATGCTGCATTTTAAATTCAAACTTGACGGTTGTCCCTTCAGGAAGTCAGTCTGTCCGCTAGTTGTACACCCAGGCGCCGCCAAAGTTTCAGTCTTGTTACTTTAATTACCTCATGTTTCAGCATGTTCTTCTTAAAACTGAAATTCTAAAAACCGAACTTCATTCTGTGACGGATTCATCGCGAAGCAAGACAAAGCTACACGCCACTCATTTTAATTGTTGTGCATTTTGTGCTGTTTTTTTCTTTTTAAATTGCAGTTGACACTATCTTCAAAAATAACTTAAACCGATCTACTGAAACTTGATATTACTTACATTTCAGAAACATCGGGTGCTCATTCCAGAAAGTGAAGTTTTGAAGAATAAAGGGAGGCAATCCATAGCGTTTTTTATCCATCCTGACGATGATTTTGTCATCAAGTGCCTGGATGGATCAGATAAATATAAACCTATATCAGCATTGGATTATCTGAATTGGAGATTCTCACTAACATACCAATAAATACTTATATAAAGATTGTTGTGTGTATAAAAAAGACTTAGTTTTTGTGGATTTATCGGGTTATACGGTGATTCTGCAGTTGTAAATAGTTAGTGCATCTAATTCCAGTAATGAATATAATATACTTTTATTTTCAAAGCTCAAGTTAAAAAAAAATATATTTTTTTGTACAAAGAGAGAATATTCCTTTAATTAAATAAATCGAACAACCATTTTAGGTGTGTGAAGTGTATTCAAAAACAGTGGACGTAGGATGGCCATTCGATTCAACAACCGTGAACTACCAATTTATTATCAACAACCGTTGACGCAGCATGGTTAATGATTTGAACAAATCTGAAATTCAGAAAGAATTGTTATTTTGACCCGGAGCCAAGTTTAACCGTTAAACATTTCTTTATATGTACAGAATTTATAAATGTTAGAAAAAGCATCATTTGAATTATTGGTTACGAGAAACATACTCGAATTATTAACCTCTTGATCAGTTCAAAATGGTACTGAATATAATTTTTTTTTTTTGCTTTTTTTTGATGCCAGGACATCAATTTGATTGAATATAGACATTATGTGATGGCTACTATAATACTATAATAGATTTAAATATTCCTAGCATGAAATAAATTAACCACAATAAAATATAACAAGAATTAACATTTACGAGCATCAAGAAGAGTCAACACTGATACCGATACAAGCAGCACTGAAGACAAGAAACTTTATCCTTTTTCTACAAAGCAGATTAAACGTATGTCACAATTGGGAACACTAGATTAAGACTAACAGAATTTTAGACCAATAATTTTTGTTTTAACTTCTTTTATGAACAGAGTATTTCTGTGCGGAATATAGTTCAATTAAATATAAATAGTTTGTAAGTCTACTGTTTACAATGTGTCATAATGTCTTTTGCACAGCCATATATTTTCACTTTTTACTTCCACTGTAATGTTTTAGTACGATTTCCTAGAAATCCTTCCAACAGACGTCTGTGATTCCACTAAAACTAAGTGCTTGATGACGTCACTAATCGCGAAGGGCTTTATTTGATATCTTGCGATTGTTGCAGTCATCAAAATTTTAGTTTTATTGGAACAGGTACCAAAATTGTCTGTTTGGAAATTTGGAAACTTGTTTTATAACCTATTTATATATAAATATAACTGCAGACAGAACTGTTTCGGCCTTCTGGTCCTCATCAGTGCGGTGCGGATGCTGGAGTGGAGGTTTGGCTATATAGCCACCTCAGATGATCCCACATATATGGTTTCATTGAACCATGCCAGAGTGCCCAAACTAGTAAACTAACTATATATAAATATATATAAATTATAATAGGTGGGCCAGTTTTGACCATACGATTACTGATGTATTCTGTTTGTAACTATTGTAACGTGACGGCTTCGAGGTTATAACCTTTTCATTAGATGGTCAATCGAAAAAACAAAAAAAAAAAAAAAAACAAAGCTATTATTTACACTCCAGCGGTTTTAAAACTTGCATATCCTTACTATTACCCCTCTTCCCTCTTAAAATTCTTACTATAACATGATTTTCTCTTAGATTTTTTCCTGCAAACTTTGCTTTTCTGACAATATATCCTGAGTCAATAGGACAACTAAAATAATAATTGTCCAAATAATTTATGTCTAATTACAAAGCGCCTCATTACTCTCCAAAAATTCCAAAAAAACCTCCTTGGAGATTTAACTCTTGACCTCAATCTGATCTCCATATGTGAATGGAGCCACGACGGTCAAATACACAGTTACTAGTGGCGTTTCTACGAGAGAAATGGAGAAGGCATGTATGCGATGAAGTGTCCACAGGGGTATTGAGAAATGGAGAAGGCATGAATGCGATGAAGTGTCCGCAGGGGTATTGAGAAATGGAGAAGGCATGAATGCGATGAAGGTTAGACGGGGGTATTGAGAAATGGAGAAGGCATATATGCGATGAAGTTTAGGCGGGGTATTGAGAAATGGAGAAGGCGTGTATGCGATGAAGTGTTCACGGGGATATTGAGAAATGGAGAAGGCATGTATGCGATGAAATATGCGCGGGGGTATTGAGAAATGGAGAAGACATGTATGCGATGAAGTGTAGGCTGGATATTGAGAAATGGAATAGACATGTATACGATGAAGTGTCCGCGGGGGTATTGAGAAATGGAGAGGACATGTATGCGATGAAGTGTAGGCTGGATATTGAGAAATGGAGAAGGCATGTATACGATGAAGAGTAGGCGGGTTATTGGGCACACCTCCCTTCCCCAAACAATATACCATAACAAGTTACTTTAATTTATGATTTCTCTTTGGGGTTTCCTGTAATCCCTTTTATGTCGATAAATATAGCCCGAATGAGTAGAACGACTTAAAACTTATAAAGTTCAAAACATGTTTGCTGGACTAGAAATGACCCATTACCCATGTGTTAAAGGGACAGGTTCGCCATTACGGGGGTTGATTTGGGTCTTGATTATATATAAATAGTCTTCAGAAGTATTAGAAATCTAAAAAAATTGCATAATCCCTTATAAATAACTGAAACTAGGAATTTCTCTATCTATTCCCATTATGCCTTTTCTATATATGACAGTCTAAAGAAAAGACGAGTCGCAGATAATTTTGGACACACATGGATTTTCAAGCTCAAATTTTATGGTGAGCTGTGAACATTATTACTGATTCGCTTAGCTAAAAAAAACTCAGTTTCAGATAATAAGGTACGATTGGCCAAACAGATGGCGAACCTATCCCTTTAAAAAAAACATTGGTGACCTTGTACATTCACGAGATCCTGTCGGCTTATATAAATGGCCGTTTTGGACATGTAAACACCAGAATATATTTTGCTTGTTTCAGTTTGTATTATATTATTATATGTCTGTAAACGGCTAATACACAGTAATTCTATGCTAGCATCAAATCAGGTATACTTTCATTTTTCATTGTTCGGTGTGCTTTTTTTTATTGTTAGCTCATTAACACCTAGCGTCCCACAATTAGAACTTCAGTCATAATAATCACAAAATTCTCTCATTCAATTTTCTTTTTTTGATGCTTTGTGTTTTGATGACATATCTCCCTTTAATCTTTACTGCCTCATCTGTGCTTTTAAGGAAATGTTTTGGATAAACATTTACCTGAAAGAATGAGTGGAAATATGTTCCCATTTTTATGTAATTTTGTTTACCAACGCCAAGTCATTCCAAGAGTTGTAATTTTAATGATATACCTCTTCACTTTAAAAAAATATATCAATAAAACAAACTTTCCATCAGTTACCTTATTAACATTTCAGACGCCAAGGTCGACAGAATTTAAAAACAAAATCTCGAGATCTAAAGACGAGATGAAGCTCATAATTTGCCTTTTGTTGTTGGTTGGGTTAGTGATTGTTAACGCAAATGATTTTCCAAAAGGTCCTGCTGGTCGTCAGCGTCGTAATGTTGACTCTGTTGGTGATGTCGAACATGCAAAAGGTATGTTTCTATCAAATCATTTACATTGCTATACATCATTAAAGGAATACAACCTCTTAAAATGGATATAAAATTGAAGGTCTATAATTTGGTTATCAAGAGTATATCTTGGACTTACCAGGTACCATGCCTATAGAATAGAAATCTGTATGCTATAATGCATGCCCATTAAACTAAACAATTATTGAAACACGCCTCTAAGCTTCAAAAAGATTCGTTTACTGGATTATTACCCAGCTTTATGGATTTATTGGGTTATAGAGGGATTCCGTCGTATAGTTTTTCGGGTGCTTACACCACGTAAGTCCAGTGATAAACAAAGACTTATTTTGGCTAAGTTTAAAAATTCAATTTTTGACCAGTTAAATATATACTTTTAACTATGGCTACTGTAAATACCAAGTGACAAAATTAACAAAGTGTAATCATAATGTGCAAGAACTTTTCTAATTTTTTTTATACGTATCGGAGCTATTTATGTCTGCTATTTGCTTCATTTTCCGTTTGGAGTGTATCGGTGTCTTAAACCTTTTAGCAACAACAAAAAAGATCACATGTATTCGTTTGAAGCCATCGCGATTTAACAACGTTATAATGTATAGTTTATTAACAACAAAACGAGGTCGCCCATTGATCCGCCATTTCATATAAAAAGAATTAGATTAAGCTAACAAATTGTCTTTTGTTGTTGGTTGATTTAGGGACATTTAATACTGGTCCTCCTACTGGTCGTCGACGTCGTAATGTTGACTCTGTTGATGAAGAAGAGGCACAAGGTATGTTTCAAATCATGTACATTGTTTTATCAGGTGTAATTACCAGGAAAGGACACACCATTTTTCTAGTTTTTTTTCCTATGTGCGCGTTTTTATCTTTTTTATCAACGCTAAATAAGTATATGACAATCCGTGTTAATATCAATATTAATGATATTCTAAAAAATATAAAATATACAATGAAGCTAACATTTTGTTTTTTGTTGTCGGTTGGTTTAGCAGCTCTTAATGGTTATATGGTGTTCCTTTAATTTGTTAAAGCTATCATACTATAATAACGTTATTTTGTTTTTTTTTTGCAAAAACTTATGAAAACTATACACCAAAATCTAGAGAAATGTGCCCCATAACTGATCTGAGCGTTTTTATCGTACCTGAAGCCGACAAAATGATGTTGTACTTTCACTTAGTGATATAAGTAGCTTTTTAAAATATCTTCAAATTCGAAATTGTTATTTTTTCAGATACATTGACCTAGCCGAACAGATTCCGCTTGACAAATACACTACATCATACATTCTTTTGTTAGCTAATGCCACAGCATACATTCCTTTATCCATTTCTGACTTAGCTCAATTGTAGTTTGTTTAAATGATCGCTGAATTTGTTCTTCATTTAGATCTTTACTGAATATTATGTTGTTAGTTCAGATCATTGTTGAATTTATCATTCCTTCAGACGTTTGCTAAATACGCTATGTTATACTATAGTCATCTTTAGTGTAGTATTCACCTTTCACATGCAGATTGTTGTAAAAACATGAAAGTACTTGTGAATTTAAAAGAGAAGCCTGTGTTATGCATTATCCGGCAATATGGGACTTTTTTTTGTCTATATACTCAAGACTTGTAACAATTCGATGTATATATATAATTATATTATATTATTTTTGTTATAATAGTATAGTTTTGCCTACCACAAAATGTATAAATTTTCTAAAAAAAAAAAACTTTTGTGTTATTACTACCTTTGTGCTAGACCATCTTGTGAACCTACCCAATGAAATCACCAGAAATGGACAAAACTGGCTAAAGGCCAGTCATGTGGACTTAGTGTCCACTTAAGAGAGGGCATCTCTCATTTTATATCCTTTCATCGTTCATAGATGAATACATTTTTTCAATACGTTTCAAATGACTGATTTATTTTGGGGCGGAATAGATTTGGAAGAACTCTTTGGGAGAGGAATGGTCCGACTGAGGTTGAGAAGCAGTAATTAAATTAAAGAAAACCATCGACAGGTCTTTCACACATAGGCTACCAACCCTCGCACATCTAAAATACAAATACGACATGTATGGTATAAGTATATTTATTCAAATACATCAAGTAAATTCTGTTCACCTTGGTCAATGGAATATATCTGAAAAATAATTTTTTTTAATTTAAATAGATGTTTTATGACGTCACTAATAATATAACCAAGGACCTAAGAGATAATGACGATATGAAATATCAAGAACCACACACGTCTACCTGAAATTTGAAAAGGTGCAAATCGATGCTATCAGTATCCCAAATGATTACAAACAATTTAGAAAACTTCTTTTTAATCGAAGGTCGTGATAAAACGTTATGCCACTTTAATAGTTTGACTGACATGTAGATGTTTGTGGAATTATAGATCACACTAGTTGCGGCGCGGGGGTACACATAGGGGTTTCAGATTACATAATTATGTGGGATCGCTGTTGAACCACCATAGGCGAAGGCTTTTTTGGGTCGAGTTAATACTTTCACTTCATATTACTGTTTCAGGACAGTATCCTATTTATTCATGTCACCAGGTAAGTCCATTAATAAATATAAAGGGCATGTTTGGGGCTTCGAATTTTATAATTCTATGTCCATTCTTAGGGGTAGTATTAATGCTGTAAAATAATGTGCATGATTTGATTGAAACATACCTTGTGCCAATTCTTCATCAACAGAGCCAACATTACGACGTCGACGACCAGGAGGTCTTAGATCAACATTTGCGTTTACAGCCGCTAAACCAACCAACAACAAAGACAAATTATAAGCGTCAGCTCATATTTTATATCATAATAAGAGAAGACTGTAACATTTTTTAATAAATTGATAAAGTTAGTTTGTTAGTTAGCTTTAATAATATAAAATCTTTCTTGGTTTCAAGGAAAAAGATACTGATACACACTGAATGAGAAATTAAAAGGTGCGAATTCAAGCTTTAAATGCCCACGATACACATCCAAAAACTAGAAAAATTCTTGCGTATTTCTTTGGTATACTGTCCTACTTTGGAAACTACATCTGATATAGTTAAAACTCTAAAACAATGTACATGATTTGATTGAAACATACCTTGTGCCAATTCTTCATCAACAGAGTCAACATTACGACGGCGGCCTGCATTAGGAGGACTAGCATTAAATGTCACTAAACAAAACAACAACAAAGACAAATTATAAGCGTCAGCTCATATTTTATATCATAATAAGAGAAAATTGTAACATACCTTGTGCCAATTCTTCGTCAACAGAGTCAACATTACGACGTCGACCACTAGGAGGAGCAACATTAAATGTAACTAAACCAACCAATAACAAGACAAATTGTAAGACTGAGCTCATATTTTATATGATAATAAGATAAGATAATACTTTAATTGATAAATCTAATAAGTTTTGAATGATAGTTTTAATAACATAAAATCATTCTTGTTTTAAAGTGGCATGTTCGCTATCTGTTTATCATGTCCCTTTTGGGTTAAAGATACCGATGACATCCGAACAAAAAATTGTGCAAATGAGAAGCTATAAACGCCGCTGATACAAATACAAAAACTGAAAAGTTCTTGTGCCTATCTCTAATTATATTGATCTATCTTGGTATTTACATATTACATAGTTAAACTACCTCTCAGCTAGGATAACCAAAAAATACTTGTTTCAAAATGAGTCTATATTCGTAAGTGGAGTTACCTGGTGTTATAGTTATACAATAAATCTATAAAACTAAGTAATAGTCCATTAAACTAAGTAATTCTTAAAAATGCTTCTTATCGTTTAGTCATTTCACCAGGTAACTCCTAAATGAATATATATTGGCCATGTTTGAGACTTTAAATTTTGTAATTTTATGTCCAATTTAAAAGGTAGTATTCCTTTAATGCTGTAAACAATTTATATGATTTGATTGAAACATACCTTGTGCCAATTCTTCATCAACAGAGTCAACATTACGACGGCGGCCTCCATTAGGAGGACTAGCATTAAATGTCACTAAACAAAACAACAACAAAGACAAATTGTAAGCGTCAGCTCATATTTTATATCATAATAAGAGAAGATTGTAACATTTTTCATAAATTGACAAATTTAAAAAGTTAAGCACCTTAGCTTTAACAATGTAAAATCATTTTTTTTAGTAAGGAAAAAAGTAAACACCGAATGAGAAATCAAAATGATGCGAATAGAAGCTTTAAATGCCCACGATACACCTACAAAAACTATAAAAATGTTTCTAGTATATTGTCCTATCTTGGTATTAACACATGATTTAAGTTAAAACTCTAAAACAATGTACATGATTTGATTGAAACATACCTTGTGCCAATTCTTCGTCAACAGAGTCAACATTACGACGTCGACCACCAGGAGGAGCAACATTAAATGTAACTAAACCAACCAATAACAAGACAAATTGTAAGACTGAGCTCATATTTTATATCATAATAAGATAAGATAATACTTTAATTGATAAATCTAATAAGTTTTGAATGATAGTTTTAATAACATAAAATCATTCTTGTTTTAAAGTGGCATGTTCGCTATCTGTTTATCATGTCCCTTTTGGGTTAAAGATACCGATGACATCCGAACTAAAAATTGTGCAAATGAGAAGCTATAAACGCCGCTGATACAAATACAAAAACTGAAAAGTTCTTGTGCCTATCTCTAATTATATTGATCTATCTTGGTATTTACATATTACATAGTTAAACTACCTCTCAGCTAGGATAACCAAAAAATACTTGTTTCAAAATGAGTCTATATTCGTAAGTGGAGTTACCTGGTGTTATAGTTATACAATAAATCTATAAAACTAAGTAATAGTCCATTAAACTAAGTAATTCTTAAAAATGCTTCTTATCGTTTAGTCATTTCACCAGGTAACTCCTAAATGAATATATATTGGTCATGTTTTAGACTTTAAATTTTGTAATTTTATGTCCAATTTAAAAGGTAGTATTCCTTTAATGCTGTAAACAATTTATATGATTTGATTGAAACATACCTTGTGCCAATTCTTCATCAACAGAGCCAACATTACGACGTCGACGACCAGGAGGTCGTAGATCAACATTGGCGTTAACAACCGCTAAACCAACCAACAATAAAAGACAAATTGTTACCTTCATCCCGAGATTTTGTATTTAATTATGTCGACCTTGGCGTCTGAAATGTTAATAAGGTGACTGATGAAAAGGTACTCTTGTGGGTACAGTTTACTTTAATTGACATTTTTTTTATTTGAATTGGGGTAAGATTAAAAATAGTACTTTGAAAGTATTTAAATGAATTGATTAAATAAAGAAAAATATCCACTTAGGCACATATTAAGTTATATATGTTACATTTTAACTGACAAAACTTTATATCATTTTTCTCAGACACGGTCTTTCTAGACTATCAATACCTGTCTACTTGTTTAAAGGGACAGATGCGCCATTTTTTTTACTTATAATACTTTTTTAGCTAAGTCAATCAGTTAGGTTCACAGCTCACCGTCGACATTTAAATCCACGTGTGTCCAGAATTATCCGCGTTGAAAGTTTAAAAGACGAGCAGTATTTTCTTGAAACACTGCCAAATATAGAAAAGACATCTATAGAAATACCAAAATAAATTCTTAGTTTGAGATATTTTTAAAAGAATAATGCGATTTTCATACATTTCTAGTACTTCTGGAGACTATTTAAATAAATTCAAGACTAAAACAACCCCAAAAATGACACACATGTCCTTTTAGAAATAAAACAAGTAATCAAGTTAGTAAAGTAACATTAAACTAAATCAAAATAATAAAAAAAAATCACGGTTAATGTATAGAGATGACATCTACATCATAAAATTTTGAGCATTTTTAGAAACCTAAGTTGAATTTTTTCAAATAAGTTATCTAATCAGCATTTAGATTTTTATCCCAATCGGCACCAAAAATATACGTCCACTGTGTATAACCATAACGAATCTAATCAAATTAATTTGTTCAATGTCTAAATACATGAACCATATAGAAGTAAAAATCAGAAAACAATATCGTCTTACAACGTATGTAGGTTTGAAATCTACCATTCTACATTCTTTCGAAATCAATATCGTTTACATTTGTTATTATGAAATAGTTAGAGAAAAAAACTGCGAAAGAGATGAGAAAACGAGGAAAAAAAGCGAGAAAACTTGGAAAATAGCCAAAAAAAACACAAAAAAGGAACATTTTACTCTGCCACCTCAATTCCTATTTTATGGCCTCACGATTTCGATTTCACTGATAGCCAGTTTTTCCAAAAAAAAAAAAAAAAAAAAAAAAATCAAAATCAAATTAAGCTTATTGTGAAATAGAAGGTTTTACTAAAATTACGAATAAAAAAAAAAATCACGAAGCAAAGCACAATTATTAAAATCCAACGCAATCTGAAACAGTTTTGCATGTCATTACATTGCGTATAAGAATAAAATAGTACACAAAAGGGTGACTGTCATGAAAAACTAAAAGCATACCTGATTTGCTGCTTAGTTTACTTACTGGTAGTACCATTAATAGTGGTCATATATATAGGCGAAAAGAGACAATAACAAAATATTTTCACTATTCAAAAAATATAAACAGATAAGAGATTAGATCTACTGTATATACAGCCATAGTCTGTAGCATACAAATACAAACAGGACAATGGTTTGCATTAAAATGTAATAGTGGCTGCCAATCAAGATACGCCAACCTACCGAATATATCTAGAGCTGTCGTTAATATTTGTCGAATCGTATTTGTCCAGAACTTTGAGGATATAGTCCAACACCACCAATTCTTACAAAAACTGTTGCCTCTATCCATTCACAAGCTTCTTTTAATGTATTTTCAGTATTTTAGAAATTGAAAGTCCGTCCGACATATAGATAGGCCTACACACAAAATTTGATAAAATTCTGAGGTAAAGTGTGGCTTCTATCGCATATCACAGAACACTTTTGACATATTTTCTGTGTAGCAAGGCCTGGAACTCCTTGAAATTTTCTCGAATGATCCGCAATTTCGAATTATTCAAGATCTTATGGATATGATCTACCTTCGGTTGAAAACGTTGAGCTCTATTGCGTTCACAAGGTAATTGTGAACGGGTGAATGGACGGACGACAGCAATTAACGTCCACACCAGAATGTAGGTATATAAAGATGAAATACTGATAACTGACAAAAAATACAACGAAGAGTTCAATTTAAAATAAATGAATGCGTTTGAAAGGAAATAAAAGTCGCAAAATAATTTCCTTCTTACTTATTCGTTTATTTATTTGTATCTAACTATAGAACAATACAATCTATAAAATAAAATAAAAATATATAAAATGAAGATACCATCTGACGACAGCCCATTTGAACATTCATCCTTTTAACCTTAACCTTTTAACCTAACTCGGTGACGTCTGCTTTATCCAAACAAATTTCTATCCAGCGCTGGTTAAATGGCGATATTAAAAATAAAAGCAAAAAAAAAAAATAAAAAAATAACAAAACAATAAATAACAAAAAAATAACAAAAATGGATCGAAAGTTTAGTCTAATTTTGATTAGAATGGCTTTTTTCAAAACTCTTTTAGCTAAGCCAATCAGTAATAGTGTTCACAGCTCGGCGTCGAAATTTGAACCTTTAAATCCAAGGGTGTCTAGAATTATCCGCGATTGAATGTTAAAATGACGACTCGTCAATTTAAGATACTCTGTGATATATAGTAAAGACATATAGAAATAATGAGTAGAATTCCTAGTTTGTGATATTTTTAAAGGAATTATGCGATTGTCTTAAATTTCTAGTACTTCTGAAGACAATTTACGTATATTCAACGCCCCAAAATGGCACACATATCCGTTTAACAACACATGGTCAAAAGGTATGTCAATGACCGATCAACTAATAAAGGTGCATAGATAATTTTAACAGATATATTACCATTAGTTTTGTCTGGTGATAAATAGAAAGTATCATTTCAAAGCAATGGTCATCAAAGAGACAAATATTTATTTTACCGTTTATCAGCCAAAGCATCTTTTACCTTGTGTTCTTCTATCACAAAGACTATGACCTCAAATATTATCATGGACTAAAATGATCTTTGTGAAATATTTAACAAAATCCATTATCAAAGATGGGTTTCCTAATTTTTAGTGTCAACTATTTGATTAATTGGTGTTTGTAATGAATTATCATGTATTCTTAATCATATCATTATGTTCTTATTGCATATAATTAAGAGTTTTAACCAATCATAAATGCCCATGTCTGTACAGTCTGGATTAAAAAAAAGACTTTTTGAGCTTTCGCTCATTGGAATTCTGCTGGTAATTCTCTTCTAATTTAGCTAATTATGAATTAAACATGTGGGACGAATTGGTATTTTTCCAAGTCATTAGAATCCCTCTACTTTCTATTCATATAATTATTAGCATTTTCATTTTCATGATTGAAAATAAGGGAACCTATCTTTAATATTATACAAGAATAGTGGGTATACCCAGATCGCCTACCGTGGCGATGTAAGAATTTGGGGTGAGTTGCCTGTGTACAACCTCTTCAGTTAACATAATATCACATTTATATCTAAATTTTTCAAACAAAATATATTCATGTAACTATTTATTCGACCCTTCTCCAAGAAAGACAACGGTGGTGTCTTCGGTTCCATTTTTCAAAGTCTTGAATCATTCAATCAGCGTCAGTTGTTCCGGTTGTTTCCGTTCAAATTACGCAATGTATATTTTAATTAGTAAATGAAAGATAACAAAGTATGTCGACCGTTTGTGAATCTTTATTTATTTATTTATTATCATATAATAGCGGTTACTCTACGTAATATACATTAATATAACAACCAATAATTATTCATGAAATATTCCAGTTTTTGGTGAATTTTTGTTTTAGTTATGAAAACTATTCATACAAAACTATGTATGATTCTTACATGTAAATAACACACACGAACGTAGTTCACTGATATTTTGAATATCTTCCTCGACTTAACAAGTCGAACTTTAAAACAGGCTTTAATATTCTTATCGAGCTTTCAAATCACGTCATTTAAAGCCATTTCTAAGCCTTTAAATGTGATTTTAAGGCCTTGCTGGAACATAGCAACATTTGAAAAAAAATTCGACTCATTAAGTCGAAGTAGAGATTCAAATGGTCGTAAACTACGTTCGTGTGTGTTATTTCAAGTTAAGAAGCATGAATAGTTTCGCATGGAAATTTTTTTTCAGCCGCCTAAAAATCACTGCGCTATTCCAGCCAATCGAAATCAATCTTCATATTGGAGAGTATGCATTCAAAGTAGGTCAATTATTTTTCAATTTTATTTTAGCTTTGACCTGGTCCAAGTATTGAACAGATTTTCACTTAAGAGAAAGGAATGATTTTAACGAGATTTTTAACAAATTAATAAAAATTTTTATACTTAAAGGAACAAGTTCTACATATTGCGGGGTTGATTTGGGTCTTGGATATATGTAAGTAAACGTACTAGAAATGAACAAAAATCGCATAATTCCTTCAAAATATCTCAAAATAGGAATTTCTCTTTCTATTTCTATAGATGCCTTTTCTATATATAGCAGAGTCTCAAAAAATGACGAGTTGTCATTTTAACTTTTAAATTCGGATGATTCTGGACACACATGGATAATAACAGTAAGCTGCGAATATTATAACTGATTGGCCTAGCTAATAATTTTTATTCTCGTTTCTGAGACTGAGGTACAATTTGTCAAATGGGTGGCGAATCTGTCCCTTTAAGTGACCTATATCGAATGACATTTCGAGTCTTCTCGAGTCATTTTATCTTACATTACACACTAAATAATGATTGTGTCGGCCCTACACACAGCAGTTGATGAAAATGAAAATTTAAAGAAGATTGGAGATAAACTTATTGCGGCGTTCGATTCTATTGGATTCTGTTATATTATAAATCATGGAATACCACAAGATTTGGTAAGCACGTCTATACATTTCTTCATATATCGTGTTTATTGAAGTTCACTCAACCTCCGAGAGCATGTCTAAAATCCTGTTCAATTCTGTCTTACATCAATCTATGACGTTGCTTAAGGCAATGCTTCGCAACCTCAGTGAGGTTATTCCTCCCTGGAAGAGTTTTTTTCAAATCTTTTCCTCCGCGAAATAAATCAGCCATTTTGAAACATATTTCACTCCAAAAATGTTTTCAACGATTAATTATGATATAATATCATACTCTACATATCGAGATCATTCAATGTGACCTTGGCGTTTACTAACAGAGATAACATTATTAGGCAATAACATAAATTATATCAAATTTAAATTATATTACATTATTCTTATATGAACCTGACAATTTAGTGCAGTTCTGGCATCATGACAAATGTTTTTAATAAAAATCTTTTAAATAGTATACCCAATTGAATGTACAACCAGCTATCCAAAAGTGAACTGTTTCGAAAGCATCGGGAGAGCTCTAGCTTCTAGTCGTTTGGCTAGGATGTTTGGTTAATCCACGTTATAGATCTATCAACAAATGGAAGGCTTGTGACCAGCCATTAACAGACAGTGTAGGACGTAAAACTTAATTCCATTTCATTCATAAGATGCGAAATCTAACAACATTCTTTATATTACACTATTTCAGATTGATCAGATGTTTGGAGTCTCAAAAATATTTTTTGATTTACCAACAGAAGCGAAATTGAAATGTAGTCGTCCTAAAGACATTGCTGACAACAATGGATATGTAGAGATGGGACGAGAAAGGTATTCTAGACATGCATTGAAAAAAACTCTAAATGGACTGGCCCTATTTATAAGTTTTTTTGCTTTGGTGGATATATGATCTCGGTCAAAGTGCAAATTCCCACAGATCTTAAAAAATGCCATCTTCTCTTAATTTAGTTTAACGGGGTTTAAATGTAAACGGGAGTCCGTTAATCCAGTAAGAAATGAAATGAAATGAATGGAGTTTTACGTCCTACTTTCCTGCACCATGTGGGCTAATGAAGACGTAATCCAGTAGGAGACACTGCCATGACGTTTGTCCAAAAACTAAACATACGTTAACCTGGCGACACAGAAACCATTTCAAACATCAAATTTGAGAATTGCTGTATTAAATAATATATGACATGACTTTTGGACAGAATATTTCGAAGTACGGAATCTGCAACTCTTTACTTTCGGAAGTACGTATTATGAGAAATTATTGCTGATTGCCAGTATAGTGCTCGAAGGATTCAAAAATACTTACGTGACCGGTTAATAATCTTTTTTGGTTGTTTGTGACTTAATATTTAGATATATTTTAAGTTGAAACTTTCACAAAAGGTAAAGGACATTTTCTTCTGCATGTTTGTATTTAATTTTATGTATTTCACGCTCCAAACCACAAAAACGGAATGCCACTTTAAAGCGAACCATGCCCACGAAACTGTGTCTGATACTTATCCCCGTAGTTATTGTTCGAAAAGTTATAACAGTTAAATAATGTGTGGACTTGACGGTTGTTGATTAATTTCAGTTTAAATCCAGAACGACCAAGTGATCTGAAAGAAATTTTTAACTTTACACCAAATTATGCTGAGGTAAATGATAAATAAGATAACTAAAGTTGCGTTTCGACGTGTTTCCCTCGTTGTCCTCAGGCACATAAAGAAGTGATGGGCAAACTATATATACATTAAAGGTTTCGCCATTCTTTTTGACCAATCATACTTTAATTTGAATAATGTGAATTTTTTAGCTAAGTCAATCAGTAATAGTGGTTAAAGCTCATTGTCGAAATTTGAGCCTTCAAATCCATATAGGTCAAGAATTATCTGCGTTTGAATGTGAAAATGACGACTCGTCATGTTCAGATACTCTGTGATATATAAAATAGACATATATAGAAAAACTGAGTAAAATTCATAATTTGAGATATTTTTGGATGAATTGTGCGATTTTCGTATATTTCTAGTACTTCTGAAGACAATTTACATATTTTCAAAACTCAAACCTCCTTAAATGGCCCCAACTGTCCCTTTAATGGCTCAAGGAAGATTTGGGAAACACCTGATTGTTTTTCCATAAAGCTGTGTCTATATCTCCTTCTCACTATTGTTAAATGCCATTTAAAGACTTTAAATGTTGCTTTGTTTGTTCGCTTTATATTCATTATAAATATTTGAAAACAAAATGTAAACTTGACAACTTGTCTGGAAATGCATGTAGTTGTGTTTAACAATAACATGACCAACATCCAGGAAAGTTCGACTTCATTCGGCAACTTATCCATCTAAATTACATTACCCAAACACAACAATGACGTTTGTAGAAATTACACCAGAGCACTGCGTGATCCTCGAATACGCAAAAATGCACTGGCACTGGTTGAATTGCATGTCGGGCTTGTTTAAAACATTTCAATCCAATCATTTATATTGTGTTGTTTTTTTTTATCTACGGTGTTTTCTAACCTTCTTAAAGTTTTTTTGAGTCTTCAGTTTATATTTTTCTTATTATAGTTTTGGCCAACTAAAGAAGTTCCCGATATGAAAGATATATTAAACAAATTTTATGATGAATGTAAACAGATAGCTTTTCGTATACTTGATGTTTTTACATTAGGTTTAAAACTCGAGGTAAGTCTTGACTAATTCTAAAGAGTTTGCAAAAATGTTTCAGTAAGTTTCATTTCGAAATGCTCCTTTAGACCACATAAGTTTCTCGATGTAAATTTCGATTTGTAGTATCATATTTTCTGAACACAATTGTCCCTGTGTTTTCGATTATTCGAATATATCGTTCGGTTTCCATGGTATTTGCGATAGTGGCGTCAAAATCTGGTTAAGTATTTATTTTCGAAAATACCAAATGCATCACATGGAGATCCTTATCACTGCAAATAGAATTTATAAATGTCCCTTAAAACTTGTCATCAGATGGTCGAATTAATCTTTTTATTCAAAACGTCTATTGGAACTATTGGCTTATATGTTTTTTTTTTAGGATAGAAACTTTCTTCGAAATAGTCATAAAAACATTGATTGTGATGGGAACTTTTACTACTGTAAGATCTTTGTGGTATCCACCATTACCAACAGACGGTAGTAAGTACACATATCTTTTGCTGAGTTGGTCAGAGTCAGACCAGCATCCTTAAAGTCCTATCAAAATTGCCTGATAAATTAACAGTGGCTCAACTAGATGATTGGGGTCCGTGGACTTCTGTTGACTGGAGCCTCCTCCGCCAGTCAATTTTGTATAAGGGTCCTCATTATAGGCAGTCATAGCTGACATAGGGCCTCATTTTCTTCAATAAGGACATAAAATTACCTCAGCATAAGTTGTGGACCATTTTATGTTAACCTTTTAGATCAGTGGTTCCTATCCTATTTCCGGCTTCACACCCCTGGAGCAATCATCTCAGACCTTTCACGCCCCCAAAAATATGCATCATCCACATTCTCAGTATGTAATGATGTGAGGAGCGCTCTCGATTCCAAATAAATTCTTCTCCTACACCAGTTTTCCACACCACTGACACCCGAGTCCCACGCCCGTAGGGGGTGAAAACATCCCAGGTTGGGAACCGCGGTTTTAGATACATACTTTAATTTGTATTATCTCAAGAATGTACGATTGGGAGCCCATGGATTTGGTACAGACAGTCCCTATGGTAGGTGAGCCACAGTAAATTAAGTTTAAAATCGAGGTAGGCGTAGCTTCGGGATTTTGATTGCTAACTTGGAGGTCAAGGTAATATTGTTTCTCTGTCAGTGATGCAACTTGGAGATGCTGATGTGTTTAAAGAGCGGCCATAAACTGAGGTTCTGTGTGGTACAGGTTGTGTACGTTAAGGATCCCTTGACAAATCGAAATAGAAAAAAAAAAGAAAATGCTAATACCGGTGTCAGGAGAATAGACATAGGACATAAAACTATTTCAAATGTATATCTGAATTAGTTAACTGTAACATATTATCGACTGATATTTGTTTCAGGTATAAAACCAGGCCAAGTTCGTTGTGGAGAACATAGTGATTTTGGGACATTGACGTTATTGTTTCAAGATGGTATCGGGGGTTTAGAGGTAAAGAACTTTATTGGTTCTTACAAATCCTTAAACATTGGATAAAGTGCTCAATGGATGGCAACTATATACATTTTCTAAGTTAGATTTGGACCTTGAATATATGAAAATAGTCTTCAGAAGTACTATAATTGGATGCAAATCGCGTAATCGCTTCAAATAATATACTTGATATCAGTTTGTCATTCTTGTAAAAGATGTGTCTCTTAACACAGACACATTTCGATTTCGATCTACGGTTTAGGACTCTCATTGATTTGCTCATCTTTCCGACATTAACATATTGATTGAAAATGAATTGGGAACATGCAGCTTCGCCATCTCTTTAACTAAGCGAATGTGGGTCTCAGAAACGGGAATTGTTTAGCTAAATTAAACAGTAATAGTGTTCATAGCTCACATTCGAACTTTGAGCCTTCAATCCATGTGTGTCCAGAATTATCTGCGTTTGGAAGTTAAAAAGACCACTCGTCTTTTCTCGAAACTCTGTCTGTCATATATAGAAAAGACGTATATAGTAATAGAAAGTGAAATTCCTAGTTTGAGGTATATAATGGAATTATCCATTTATAGTATTATTTCAAGATGAGAATATCTAATTTTTATTTGTTGAACTTGAAAGCGAAACAATACACCAAGCTTTGTTTTTAATGCAAATGCTTTGTTTTGAGTTGTGTCATACCTGCTACTGAAATGACGTGTTCATAATTATTACAGGTTTGTAACAAGAATGGTGATTATATACCAGCTACTCCTGTACCTGGTGCTATTTGTGTTAATATTGGTGACTTGATGCAGAGATGGACAGCCGATAAACTCAAAGCTACTGTAAGATTACATACATTTTTCTGTCCAAAAGAGGAAACTCAAGGTTTCTAGTCGCTTAACGCTGTGGATGGTACACATCATCGTACCGGACTCGATCCAGGGTTCGATCCTAGCATTGACTATCAACTTCGATAACACTTTCGTTTTCTATTATTATCTAACAAGTTTGCAATCGAGGTCCCGTTCCGTTGACATCATTTTGAACCAATCAAGCGTGTTATGCAGAACCTCGTTAATGTTTGTTTATGATGAGTTGTGCTTCAGATTTTAAGACAAAACGTTATCATTCTCTCATTTCAGAAACATTGGGTGCTAATTCCTGAAACTGAAGTTTTGAAAAATACGGGAAGACAGTCTATAGTATTTTTTATCGATACCGACGATGATTTTGTCATCAAGTGCTTGGATGGATCGGATAAGTATAAACCTTTCTCAACATTTGATTATCTGAATGAGAAAATTGCAATAGCATACCAATGAATATCGATCAATTTAATGTGCATGTGACGAAACCTTATCTATATTCTGCGAAATAAATTATGATAAATTTGAATAAATAAAATATTTGTTAAGCCATTTTGATGTGCATATTAAATATCAATTTTGTTGTCTATCAGATATCAATTTGCTGATGTATTATATATCAGTTTTGCTGCTGTATCAGATTTCAATCTTAATTTTGTATCAGACATAACTTGATTGCAAGTGTCATAACAGATATTTTTACATGTGTTTCAGATATCAATTTGTTTTGTGTGTACAAGATATCAATTTGGTGCGTGTGTAACCCGGTATCAATCTGATGGGTCCGTACCCGATATCGATCAGTTGTTGGTATAAGATATCAATTTGTTGTGGGTTTAAGATATCAATTTATTGTGTGTACCAGATATTAATTTAAGCCCCGGGTCCATAATGAATTTTTTTTATTGAGTATTATACAGATGGTAAGTAAGGGAGATAACAACGTAAACAAATTCACTTTAATCTTCCTCTTGTATAGAAATGTTCTGAAAGAATTCTCTAGTTTCACTCTGGATTGCCTTTTCTGTAAAGAACAACCTATCTTCCTCCGTAAACCTTGCTCCCTTGGATAAAAGTAATTGTATTTTGTCAATTGGTGTTATTTCTGAAAGACAGCAGGAAAACAAAGGTGTGAACCCAAAATTGTTCTCATAGTTCACCGACAGTCCTTCACCAACAAAATACTTCACTAGATCCAGCTGACACCACCGACACGTGAAGTGCAGAAGCGTCTCTGCTTGGTCGTCCGTGTCCATGATGTTCCCTCCTTTTCTGATGAGATGTTCCAATATTTCCATCTGAAACACCTCCGATTTACAACAATATGAAAGTGTATTTTGATGCCAAAAATCAATATCATTTATTCTAAGTTTCCGAGATAAAAGATACTCAACGAATTCCAGGTTTTGGGATCCACATGCAACGTGCAATAGACTTCGTTGGTGAATATCTTTATCATATAAATCGCCACCATTATCCTCCAAATATTTCAGTTTCTCGAAAGCTTGCACCTTAGATTCACAAGTATAGTGTAAAGGAGTTCGGCCATTATCGTCTTTAGAATTCACATTAAGTCCGTTCTGAACCAAAAACTGAACACAAGCTAAATTACCCCATTGAGAAAATGAATGAAGAACTCCTACGTTGAAAAAATTAACTGCTTCAACATCAACACTAACTGAAACCAGATATTTAAGAATTCCCAATGGGTCTACGGGATTAATGCTGCAACAGTGAAGTGGAGTTTCTCCAGTTAACGTTGTACTGTTGACATCCAAATCTTGGCTGTAAAGATATTTGACGGTTTCCAGTGGACTAGCTGAACATGCTATATGTAGAAGAGTTTCACCTTGGTCGATTCTTAAATCCCCCCCATTAAGGCACAAATATTTAAGTTTTTCGATATGATTTCCTTTTGAACTACAGCAATAATACAACGGTGTATGTCCATCTTTGTCTATGTCACAAGGTAGCAATCCACACTCGACTAGCCATTTGATCATGTCTAGAGACCCATACTCGCATGCAATATGCAGAAGACTCCTTTCTGTATCGTCCTTAACAAGGATATTCCCTCCGGCATTAGCTATCAATTTCAGTTTCTTCAATGGATCGACAGAAGATTTACAGCATTCGAACAGTTCTTCCATGCCAAATTCGTCTATAGGTTTAAGCTTATTGTTTATCATAAAATCCAGAACTTTTACAGGCTTTGACTTGCATACTTCCAGTAAATTTTCTGTATCGTCTGAAAAATCCTCCACTAGGGCACCACAATCGAGTACGACCCTATCTGTATCATCTGGCAGGTCGGTAGACAACAATGCTTTACACAGTGGCGTTTCGACTACCACTTTAACGTCTTCTTCAGCGTCCTGTGTGTCCATTTCTGGACCTAGGTTATCCTTTTCTCTCATTTTCGATAACTTTTCTTATCGTAACCGTAAGAAATGTAAGCTCGTGAACTTTGATAATGATAGTGTCCAGTCCTTTTATAGCCAATTACTAGTAGTTCACAGTCAATTAAAGATATGGTTCTCTTATCTGTACAGTGTGTTATGCGAAAAGCACACATAATATAATGGATGAATATAGCGAAAACCAACAGATTACTCACAACCCCCCTCCCCCCCCCCATCCCCCCTCCATCACCCCTCCTCTCTTATTCCATTCCGACCAAGAATCCTGATTTTTTCGTCTGTAATTCTGAAAACTACAGTTTTCATGTTTTGGCCACTCTCCAAAAAAAAAAACAAAACTAAAAAAAAACACCAACCTATTTCTATGTCTATAACGAACGGCTTGTCGCCTAAATAATATACTCAGATAGAAGAATTGAATTTGTGAGAAAAAAAAAATTAATGAGGTACGTATCCATCTTCAAATGACGTCACATAGAGTATCAAGATAATAATGTTATCAGAAAAGTTAAACGTAATTTGACCAAATTGATACAGTTAAATGGATCATATTGAGTAAATGCGAACCTAAAACAAGGTGAATACCTTTGTGAACTTAAAACCTGCTATGATATGGTGTGTTCATGATGGTTTTCATGGAATATGCCTATTCCATAAACTCATAATTTTGATATATCTAGTAGTATTATTAGTTTATCTGACGATAGTTTGATTATACCAAGTATTTTTGCATTCGTGAACTCAACCGCAGAATGGCTCATTGTCTGGTAGTAGCAATCATCGAGGTGACGATAAAGAATACTTGTCGGAGTGAAAAAAATTGAAAAAAGTCCTAGATTCCCTGATGCCGATTAATTTGTTATTTCATATTCACCAATTTTAAAAGTTATCATATACTTAATTATGTAACATGACGTAGACGTAGATATTAAGTCACAAGAATATCAGCCTGATGTATCGTATCAATGGTAATATAATCTGACTAACACACATTTGACAAATCAAGCTATAGGTACACGATGGTAATTGATTTGTATCAAGTGCAGAGAAGTCGTTTCGTTACATACCTTATCAGTCCAGTTTCATTGATGATTACTAATAAATAGGTTAAACCGTGAATTAGACATTATTGTCCTTACTGCGCTTGATTATTGAAAACTGTTGTAAACTATAAGGCATTCAATAACATCATTCTAACAATGTAAATTATTACGAACGTTTAATGCCTTGACTTCATTGGGCTCTTTTCTTGTTTTACTGATTGTTGTAAGTGCTGCGATGTTACTGGATTGCATGCTATCGAATACAACCAATCAGAGACCTCGACAGACGGTCGGTAAACAATGAGTCACAATGTCATAAAGCCTTTATGTCGAGAGATCTAATTGGCCGTATTCGCTAGCGTATCATCCAATCAAATTGCTGTATTTCACAACACAAGAAACGAACCCAATGCACTCAAGGTATTACACGAAGACAAAATAAACATCTCTTTATGTTTTCAACGGGCATATATATGCAGAAAACTATTTACTGAACTACACCATATTTTTCACGAATGTCAATAAAGAAAGAAAAAGAAAAAGCCAAAAGAAATACAAGGTATTCTGTTTAGTATAAATTTATTATACAATTCAATAAAACGTGACGGCTGATAACAATTGCATTAATATCTGTACAAATAATGAGCAATGACAGGAAAGCAGCAGAATATCAAGAAACATGAGACATATAATTATGCTGAAAATGAAGACACAAAAGAAGACATATTATGTAGATAGGGATATATCGCCGAAGGACAGCATAACCAATTTATATAAATAGCGAAATAATGGAAGCAGACGAGGTTTTCAAACTGTTGAATGACCCAAAAACAATCAACAAAGTTCAGACTTGCCAGCATGTTTCAAAGTCCAGTATTTAAAGCATAAAAGATCGATCAATCGTTCGATGTTAAGTATCATAGTAGTTCTCAATCAAATACTACATGAACATATACTTCTAGCATTCGACCATTCTCGGCAAATTCCGTAAAATGAAATCAGCGAATGGACAAGATTTGTTGAAAGTCTGTTTCTAGATCATGTCTTAACTGAGACTTGTGCTGAAACTTACGTTTCTTTTTTATCCCGAACCCAGCATTTTAAAAGAATTAAATAGGATACAAAAAGGGAAGGCATTCAGAATCTTACTATGTGGCTACATTTTTAACTATGAATCTTACTATCGGACTACACTTTTGAACAATGAATCTTACTATCGGACTACACTTTTGAACAATGAATCTTACTATGTGGCTACATTTTGAACAATGAATTTTACTATCGGACTACAATTTTGAACAATGAATCTTACTATGGGACTACAATTTTGAACAATGAATCTTACTATCGGACTATAATTTTGAACAATGAATCTTACTATGGGACTAGAATTTTGAACAATGAATCTTACTATGGGATTAGAATTTTGAACAATGAATCTTACTATCGGACTATAATCTTGAACAATGAATCTTACTATCGGACTATAATTTTGAACAATGAATCTTACTATGGGATTAGAATTTTGAACAATGAATCTTACTATCGGACTATAATTTTGAACAATGAATCTTACTATCGGACTATAATTTTGAACAATGAATCGTACTATGGGACTAGAATTCTGAACTATGAATCTTACTATCGGACTAAAATTTTGACCATGAATCTTACTATGGGATTACAATTTTGACCATGAATCTTACTATGGGACTACAATTTTAACTATGAATCTTACTGTGGGACTACAATTTAACTATAAATCTTTCTATGGGACTACAATTTTGACCATGAATCTTACTATAGGACTACAATTTTGACCATGAATCTTACTATGGGACTACAATTTTAACCATGAATCTTACTAAGGGAGTACAATTTTGAACTATGAATCTTACAGTAGGGGTACATTTTTAAACTATGAATCCTTCTAGTTCTACGGGATTACATTTTTACCTGAATCTCACTGTATTGTAACATTTTTAATGCTACAAGTCCATACTCACTTATTCTACGGATTATAATTTATGAGTAATATTTTATGAATCTTTCACACTTGCATAGATGGTTCAGCAAAACACATTTTTGCATGATATAGATGATAATTACTAATTTTATAAAGCAAATGTATATGATTACATATGCGAGTCAAAAAATTAAAAACATGATCAATCTTCTGAAAGAAATAACGAAAAGTTAGAATTTTCAAAGAGTTAACCGTAGTAAATACTGTTATTTTAACCAATAATATAGCACTTCACAATGACTTTGTGTCAAGTGTACGTTTTTGATATACCTTTATAAATACTAGCTTAAATCGCAATTTTCACCAAACTTCATCCGAAGATTTAAAGTCGGTATCAGAGACTAGAGCGTTGTCTGTCACTTAAAACCTTTTTGTGACTGTTTCGTATCGGGGCATTTGGCCATCTCTAAAGTATCACTTTCCAATAAACGTCGAAAACCAAAAATATTCTTGCTCAAGATCATAAATATTGTTAGAAATCTCGCCCTTTAAGAAATATACGCTTTTAATGCTGTTGGTTCATTGGTGGACTGACCATATGAAATGTACGATTTCGATAGTAATCATAATGTCTAAAACGATCTAACCACAAAACAACATGGAAGCACAAATATGCTTTTGATTACAGCAATTGGAAATGGCTGAATGTAAGAAAGGAATGCTCTTTAGATTTTTTCTACAAACATAGCCTACCTATGCAACTTACAATTAAATACATAAATACAATACAACCCGTATTTTAATCTTTTGTAGTTTTATGATGAACATGAAATTAAATATGTATTATGTAAATACAGTTGTTTAAATACAATTTTAAACAATAAACAAGTAAATTAGCTGAAACCGTTATTAAGTCATTGCAATGAACATTCCACAGTTGGTTCTAGCAAGCATCAGGCAAATTTTAAGCAGCTGAAGGTCATTATAAAAGTAAAATTTATAAAAGTCGACCAAAATCGTTAAGGGAAATGTTAGTACAATGTAAGCAAATTTTGCATATTTGTTTAAAACACTACAAGTAATTGGTCAGTAACTAAGGTAAATTGTTTAAAAATTGTTAGTAAAATTCTACATATTTCGTTATAACAAATATAAACAAGATTTTGTAGCGTCGAACGAGTTCTATCATGTGTCCACGTTAAAATGAACATATTAACGATCTTTCTTTTCATTTCAGCAGGTGCCATCAAAATAAATAGAATCCTATAATTTACTTGTTCATGTCTAATATAATCACCAAAATGGTGCTAAATGAGGGTTTGAAAAATATGATAGATAAAAATTCAAAAACAAAACAAATCAACCGTAATATCAATTCTTTCGGCAAAATACGACATTACACTCTTTTAAATATCAATGACATAGTATGTAGAACACAATCCATTTGGCAGATTTGACAGCAGAAATTGGGACGCAGGATGGGAAGCTTATGGGAGGTCGTCTTAACCAATCCAAATAAGCTATGAAAATCCTCCATTTATATTTCATTTCAAAACTTTAGTAAATTTGAAATATAACCTATCGTCAAAGCTATGCATATTTGAATACGGAAATTTCATGAAAGTCATAAAGTCCTCTTCTTGTTTCAAGCTTTAGTTCCACAAATCTTAGTTACGAACTCCATTTCTTACGCTACGCCACTAATAAGTTGTGGTCATGGAAGTAAAGTAGATGTTGAAGGGAGCACAACTTATATAAATCATACGACGAGAATACTTCATAAATAAACCAAGTACTAACGATCTGAACCGCAAAACGAAACCCGAAATCCAAAACAACATTTGTAGCAGCTAATGAACTTTTCACATGGGAAAGAATATCAATCATAAGTGAGTATTTCTATGTGATTACCCACAGTGTTGTGTATTGAGTTTCCAGAGACTTCATATCATATTCCAACTACAATCGAATGATTCATAATCAGATTTGTCCGATCAATAATATTCAACAGGGTCCATCCCTCATAAAAGTGTCCGTTCAATTCTTTTATATAGTACAGTTCACGCGGAAAACCGTAAACACTGCTTTTTCGGGTTGTATCTCCTCAACATGATAAAAAATCCGCGCAGGGAATTTCTTTCGACCTTTTCAAACCATCACACAAAAACCTGAATAAATCTTTGCCTAAATAATATGCTGCTACTCTTCTTCAGTAGAAAACATTTCCATAAATCACAAAAGCACACAATGACATTTCTTATAAACATCGTTATATCAACACTACATGGACTGAATTCGATACTTTGAAAAACGGACAAAAAATATCAGAAGATACTCTCGTGCTCTGGTTCATTTTTTACCCCAACGTAAAATTTACCCTCGTGATAGCGTTGTTTGTTCGATTGTGCGGCTTCAACGTCGTCATATTCACTAATACTTATAGCGTTTGTATAACTCGGCGATCGCCGTAAAATTGCCCGTCTGCGAGGCGTAATGCACCCTTCACTACGAGTGTCTTCGGTTTCTTTAGATAGAAGTCTTTCCGAGGATCCACCCTCTTTTTCTTTCAGAAGTTTATCTAAAGATTTCCTCCGTGGAATACCATTGGGTTGACGTAAATTAACACTCACTGGATTATATCTCCAAACGTTATTTCCACTATCTATTTTTGTGCCATTTGCACTATAACAGAATAAAAAAAGGGTTAATGAATAAACACGATCATTGCAAACAAATTTAAAGGAACGGGAACATACCAGGAATAAATGTCTAGGGCAAAACGTCTTTTAGGAGCCTTGACTTGCAATCCACATCAAAGACCTCTGTCTATTCATACCTCTGTTGTTATAAACAAAATACATACCTCTTATCTTCTAATCTATCTATTTTTAATAAAGCTAAATCTAACTCGTGTTTAATTTTCCATAGCTGAGTTTCACAGAGCGGATCTTTACAGCGTCGTTTACGATGAGACTGTATAGCTTCTAATACTGATTGTTCAAATGTTAACGATTTACCCATACTCTGTAACAAAGGAAATTTCATAAGTCAAAAATAGACTTACGCCCCCTTTTCATCAGTAAAAGAAATAAATACCCGATTGTAATGGAGCCTTTGTAGTAGCTCATTATCAATATTTCCACTATTGCACACTGTATAGTATGTGTAGTTCATGCATCGGCACATTGGCATTTCGCCCTATTGTACCGAAAAATTGCTTTCTTTCGTGAGACCATCTGATCCGAATCTGGAAAGTGGAAAGATCCGATTACCAAGGTATTCATCCTTCCCTGATTCTTAAAAGTACTTAAAATACTATTCCTATATTCGGCCATTAATGCACTACAGATGAGGAAGGTTGCCCTTCTTGTTAGTGTAAGAAGTTCTCGTTCGGAAGGAAAAAATGTTATTCACTTACCAAACTAACTAAAGTACAACAACCACATTTATCCCACTTCTTTAATTTACTTCTTCCAAACCGAAAATAACAATGTTCTAATCCCAATAAAATAGCACCTAGCATCATACCTAAAGCCAACAATATAAATGCACTAGTAAAATTTAAAATTCCTAAAGTATGACTTTTGATTCCTTTTCTCTTTTTCTTCTTATTGCAGGCGCCTGATAACCAGTATTTTTGCAACCGTTCCATCTCACCTGCAACGAGATCGATTTAACAAAAATTATTAGCCAGTGTTGATTGGATGAAAAAAAGGGCTATGCTCTTAGCGATGTAATATAAATAAAAATTTTTTTGTCATATTTCGGTTAAAATTTACTTTCTTCATGTTCAATTTACAGATCGCAATTTCCCCGTGTTAGCTTTGCCAGATATGGCTACTGTCGGTGGCATCAAAGTCTGACAATCGACATCTATTAGGCCCATCTGATGACTCACTAATGCAGCAAGCGGCATATCATATACAGCTGCTACGCTCAAAATTGCAAGTAAGGAAGGTAGGGGTGTGGATATAATCGAGAAAGTTGGTCACGAAACTACATACCCATGTCTTGCAGTTGTAACAAAACTTTATTGATTTTATCTTTCCATGGTGATCCATAAGGAAAAGCAATACCATAACCTGTCATAGCATACCATTTACCAACAGTGATCAGTCTACAACCTTTGTCTTTACCAGCTAAATATTCTAATACCGTAGCATCATAAATAAAAGCCTGAATTTCTCTGAAAAAAACAATATTCAATTTTCTGCTCAAAACTGTAATTGCAGTAAACGTCCATTTAAAATACTATACTGACAAAATATGAAAAAACCAATATTGACCAATAGGCGCAAAGGGCGCAAAATGATTTCAAAATCAATGGGTACCATTTCCATTTGGTCAGGAACATGATTCCACTCCACCATTGTTCTTGTGTGGCTTATGATATTTGCGTAACTCCGACGTATACAGTCTGAGTTCACTTAACATATTTCTTAAGGTACTCACTGTTTCTTTAAAGCCATGATGCCATCTTCAACTGTTGGTACATTATAGCGTTTCATATAGGCATACATATCTGGGTGGTTCTTTTTGATGTTGGTTTCTGTACTTCCACTGGGTATGGTTGCATATTTAAATGGTGGCTTGAGGGCATGTGGATTCTTCAGCTGTTCAAAATACAAGGTGCAGCATTAGCATCTTGAAGTAACAGTGAGCACAAATTTTACACGGAATATTTATATAATAGTCGCAATGAAAAGTGGTAAAAGTCGTAAATTCAGATAATGGTATGAGGGCATGCAAGCCGACACCGGGTCAACTCTCGAGATTCTCTTACCATGACGAGACTTCAAATCTACGGCACTTGCAGACGAGACTACTGACTGAGCTATACCACTGCCGCAGTGGATTCACTGCACTATAAGCTGCATATGGATGGCTCGATGGATGATCAAGATCGACTTGTTTCTTTAAGACTTACCCTATAGTCTTGAATACCAGATAAATCATAATATTCTTCTTTGGTTATCATAAATGCTGCAAGATTGGCAGTATAGCTGGCCAGGAAGACTAATGCGAACAGAGCCCACATATTGGCAAGGAATCGACTGGACACACCTCGTGGTGTATCCGTCGAAACAGCAGCACTGAATAACATGGCCCATATTAACCAGAAAGATCGGAACAAGGAAAACTTGTGTTCTGAAATGAAACAAAAAGCATTTCTTACATTTTACACCCTTCAGATTAGTGTACTGACGTTTATGCTATTAATAAAATGAAACAAGTGACTTTGATTTCTTCGCTAAAAGCCATCAAGTCTTAATATAGGAATGTCAACCTCCATTTCCATCAGCAGTATGAGATGAGCTCATGTAAAAAAAAAATCTAAATCACAAATAAAAACAAAGCCACTAACAGTCACTTGCAGTATGAGATCATCCTAATATATAGGAAGGCTATATGCACATTATAGATTTTAGCTTGTGGTCCAGAGGGTCCACCATTAGCGTCATCCGCTATTCTTGATTCAATTGTAGACAATTCATGTACCATGTATGCAACCCTCTATACCCATAAGGATTATCTTGATATAATGCAAGTACAATTAGGATAAGACAGACTTAAGACATATTATCATAGCTCTGAATGACATAATCCGCATCCGTTGACAGAGACACACTTATTCGTTCGACAAAGCATCAATGAGGCCATGTCTTCACTGAAAGTGCACACCAATGAGACCACCTTTGCGCTAAAAATGCAACTGAAGAGCTGGTGGTCTCCCCTTACTTGATATCAGTCATAAGATTTACCTCAGTTACCTCGCAAAGTAGTTTGTCCTTGATTTAAACCGTATGGACTTAACCATTCAAATATGAATATCGATGCTCCAGTTGCGTGAACACTAAAGACCAGAATCAACGTCCAAGATGGGTAATCGTATGGTTCTGAAAAGACAGGATCGGACTTTAAAAGAAGCATCTACGCATTTTAAGGATATCAATTCAAGAGTTTGACCATTAGTAAAGTCTCTTCGCAGCGATGAACCTCTTTCTCATATCCATTTACAGTTTGATTGACTATAATGATAATGACCTACACAAAGATCTGGTAAGAAATTTGACTCAAGAGCTTCGAGAGTGTGAACATAATCTTCTATGTATTTCTTTAGACATTATTTGTAATGAACATCAGCATTAATATCAATTTCTTAAGTCAAAGAAATAAAAAAAGCCTTACCCAGAAAAGCCGTGGCAGATATAGCCCCTTCTCTTATAGCTACAATAATAGTGATACCAGTTTCTAAATACGGTACAGAGAAATCAACAATGGTATTTCTCTCTGGGTTGATCTTTAATGATGTTACCACCCAGTCTCCTTTCCCGTCAGCTAAAGCCTTTGGTAAACCATTCCATTTCTTTGTTTCCTGGAAACAGATTATAAAGGTAAATGAGGAGTTGGTTCACCAATTCACCAAATCAGACCTTCTCAGATCATAGTTCATTGAAGTGTGCTGTTCTTGACAGATTATCTGTAGCGTCTTGGTCTTCATATTTAGTAACGAACCCTCACATCCAATTCCCGACCACCAACAGCTTCTGAAGCAAATCCAGTAGGGGAATATTAACCATTTGATAAAGGCCAATTGGATAGAAGGCTTACCGGATTAAATGCACCCCATTGCCCATCTTCCACCTCTTTCAATTCATAATCAAAATCCAATTCTGTACTCAATATTCTCAATAAATCTATACTCAGACCAACACAGCATTTCATTATCGTATCATTGGATAATCTGCAAGGGAAGCACACAACAATGTAAAGATGATGATAATATTGCAATGTGCAGCACATATTTTGAGAATCTGATCTGATGTTAAACGAATGGAATATTAATATTGATCATATGATTTTGGCGAGTCGTGGAAAAGATTGACAGCCTGAGCCTGAGAGCCTGAGTTCTTTGATAGAACATTACACCTCCACTGAAATAGGAAGATATGGCGTTAACCAACACTGATTTACAATGACCATAATTTAAAATAGTGAAAGTACTAGTTCTAGTTAGTCTGATGTACATTTTTGATAGTTTTCAGGTTGGAAATCAACAGCGAGTCGTCCACAGCATCAAAATTCTTCTTTACTCTTGGGCGTTCGAGCAATTTTTGAATGAAGTAAAAACGTTTACCTATTTTTGTTTTCATCCCGTTCATATACATGACATGGTGCTTGGGATCTGCTGCATTCGCCATCTTTTGGTTCTTCATAAATGACGTAAGGATTTTCATGTAATGTTAACACCCTTACAAACTTCCGCTCTGGCTTACCACGAGGAGGCGCTGCAGCTTCACCAGGCCAAGTAATGTCTTTCATGATTAATCCCTTGTTTGTCCATGAACCAACCTAAAACGTTAAACAAAGTAGGTACGAATCGATTTGGCATTGTTTCTCACCCAAATTCTTCCTAATTGAAACATCGCCATCATTTATATTTGTGTACTGTGATCCAAAGGGAGTTTCGTGTTCGCAATCAATAGTTTTTTTTGCAGTTGTTGACATTGTGGAATTCTCGTTTCTACTAGATCTTCTTTTTTGTTTTTCAAAGCGGATTTTAATCTGTAGTCATGTCAATCAAATCTGCTGATGATTGTATTAGATGCAATAGTGAAGGTTACCTCTGTGTTTCTTGCGACTACAAATTAGTTTCGATTTTCACTAAAAGCATGCGTTTTTTGGAAAATCACAATATGAAAAAGACACTAAAGAGACAGTTCTGCTTCAAGCATTAGATAATCAGCCTTCAGACAATCTGCTATAAATCGGCGAATTTTTATTGGAACACTACAGCCGAAAAATGACCTTACATAACGGATATCAAGGAGAAGAGACCGAGTTTAACTCACAAAAAGAACCTTATACTTTATTTAAAATATGGTTTACCGGCTAGATACAGCTAATTTTAGAATCACGGCCCTCTTAGTAGCGAACAAACGCAGGTATTTAAAGTCATAATATGTCATTTCAAAATCTACCGATAGAAAATGTTGTACCTGCTCCCACATCCGCTTATTCCCATCTCTTCTCTGTATATTTAGAATTTGTAAATCTGTAGTCATCAATATACCCGATTCATTAAAAGATATACTTGGTGGACCAGCAACTGTAACATTCTTTAAATAACTGAAAAATAAAGTTTAGAATTTTAATATCCTTTCTACAGAAATAACACTTCACATTGTTGATATAAGACGTTAGAATTATCAGATTACGTTATCGATACCAAATATTTCTGATACAGGGTGTGGGTGATACGGTTGCTAGAAGAGACGGTGATACAAGACTCAAGTGATACAACTATATCGAGAGGTGGTGATATATATAGATGCTAGTGATACAACTGTTTAAAGAGATGGTAACAACTGTTACAACAAGTTCTTATACGTGATGGGTACAGCTGCTTCAAAATATGTCTGATTTAAGACGTTATTGACACAACTTGCGTCAGTGATACCACTGAAACAAGATATTTCTGAATCATGAGGTTGGTTAAACAACCGTTTCAAGAACTTGGGTAAACCACTGTAACAGGATATTTCTGAATCAAGATATCAGTGATAAAACTGTTTCAAGAACTTGGGTATACCACTGTAACAAGAAGTGTGTGTTACAAGACGTTAGTGATATAACTGTTACGGGAACTTGGGGATACAACTGTAACAAAATATATCTGAATCAAGACGGTAGTGATATTTTTAAGAACTTGAGAATACCATGTAACAAGAAGTTTGTGTTACAAAACGTGAGTGACGCAACTGTTTCATGAAATTTGATATTCCACTTAAAGTTTGTGATACAAGACGTTAGTGATATAACTGTTACAGGAACTTGGGCATACCACTGTTACAAAATATTTCTGAATCAAGACGGTAGTGATACCACTGTTTTAAGAACTTGAGATACCACTGTTGAAGAAACAAGGCTTTAATGATAAAACAAAGAAGTTCTTGATGGTACAAAATGCACGAAATGTCATTAAATTAAATATTAAAAACTTACTTGTAAAATACAGATCCATTTTTCCAGAACATTTTGCCAATTCCTTCACAACTCAAATTTGGTGACATTTTATATTTAGTATGTAATCCTCTGGTTGTGGCCAAGTTATTTAATGCGTTTATCCAAATGGTGGTACCCATCTTGATAGCTTCTATCATAGCTTCTTTACCATGATCATATGAGATACCTACAAAATGAACATACAGTTTTAAATTCTTTGATTACTTTGGAAATACTTCAGGAATTGTACAGAAAAGCAACACAAAGTTTTTTTAACAGAAAAAAGGGTATGGGGCAATCAATGCAGTGAAGCAATACAGGTCCCATCTTTGTGCATTTCGTGATAAAATGACAAGTATGGTATGCATTATACATTGTGAACATTTAAATACATGGAACCAGTTGAATTTCCACCCGTATGAATTCAAAATTCAAAAAAATAAAAAATCGTTTATTCCATCTCAAAAATAGTATTTCTTTACATACATGAAATCCATGTGTCTGCAGTATCTAGAAATTTGAACAGTAATCGTACTCACCCAAAAGCCCATAATGAAATGATCTTGGAGCATACGTTGCGGTTGGTATGGCTGTTTGACTCAATATCCATACAAATTCCTGTCCAGCTATTCCTAATTCATGAGCATAGTCCATGATATATTTTGATTCTAAACTGGAATATACAATATATTTGCGCCGATGCAAAATTATGTAAGTCTTGATTGGGTTCATGGAGACATACATGGGTAATATTTTTGCCAGATTATTAAGATAAACTTTCGATCTTATCTCTGCCACAATGCACAGAAGATTAATGACCTAAAAAAACTTATTTCCTTGTTATTCCAGCGATTCCAAATGTCCAAAAGCCAAATTAAAGACCCTATAAAAACCCTATTTCCCAACTTTGACCAAAAGTTGTTAATCTTTTCACCGGAGACGTTAAGAAATGTCTGAAAGATTGCTGATATCACAAAACACTACATTTTCTATTTTGTAAGGAGACCTCTCTACTACTTGGTGTGTGCATGGTTACCCCCATGTGGTAGGCTACTGATATTTCGGACTGATAACCAGGTATTTAAGGAATGAAATTTGACATGAAACGTTGTTACCATTTCTTACCTGTTTGCATGAAGTAATATAACGCGACTGTCAAATTTAGTTAACTGCGATAATGCTGCTTTCGATTCAGTGGCGTTTTTTGTATCCCTTAGAATTATATGAGTAACAACTTCGATTCTGAAATGAAAATGTGGATAACGACATCATATCAATACTTTATCCAAATAGCCAACTTATTATGCATGTACGGTAAACAAACACTATATTTATTTTAAACACGCATAATGCAATGTTTCAGATTATTAGATATAACATCGATTCATGATATGTTCGTGCCAGTGGCAGCCCCAAAAGCGACAGGCGGAGAGGGGAAGGAGTAGGTCAAAATATAATTTTCTTTACGTATTTATGTTTTGGTTCTGAACCGAACGTGCACAAGTATCTTAGCTCGATTATGTTATGTTACGTTAATTTGTTTTGTTATTTTATGTTAATATGTTTCTTGTTATTTTATGTTAATATGTTTCATGTTATTTTATGTTAAATTGTTTTGTTATGTTTTGTTAATTTGTTTTATGTTATGATAATTTGTTTTATGTTATGTTCTGTTCATTTGTTTTAAGTTATGTTCTGTTCATTTGTTTTATGTTATGTTCTGTTCATTTGTTTTATGTTATATGATTTCACTCTGTGTTACTGGTAATGTTATTTCACTTTGTGTTACTTTAATGTTATGTTAGCTCTGTAACAGGGGAATTTATTCCTAGATGATTGCAAGTAATTGGGCTGTGCAGATGTGTCAAACTGCACAATAAAACTTTGATGTCTTATTCAAATATTGAAATATCTTTAATAGAACCATTGGGACTATTACAATAGATTGCCATTAATATACATGACATTTATAACTGCAGTTATTTAAAAGAATACTACCCCTTGGACATAAAATGTAAAGTCTCAAACTTGGTCAATAAGTATATATATTCATCAGTTACCAGGTGCCATGACTAAAAAAGAGAATCTCTATATAAGACGATATCCATTAAACTAAATAATTATTGAAAAACGTTGCTAAGCATGTTTCAGAATTACTTAACGACATGTTACTTAGTTTTCTGGATTTATTGGATTATAGAAGGATTCTGTCGTATTCGTTTGACACCAAGTAATGCATCAACTGATGAGCAAAGACTCATTTTAACCAGTTTTTTTTTTGTCAAATTAGAGGTAGTATACCTTTAAATTGTAACTATGTTATGTAAACTGTACAAAAGGCCATCTGTTAATATGTTATTACAAATGTTTTTATTTCATAAAATAATGAATAAAGATATATTAAACATACATAATTTCATTATACTAGTAAAATGTTTAGATTAATGTCACCCCTACTATAATAGCTGTTCAGTACTTGTACGTTTTATTGCCTATGCACGTACATGAACTTAAGTTAAGTGCGCCTCCATATCGCACCCTCTGTAAACCGACATCCTCTTTAAACATGCATATATGAAAAGACGGGAACGTATGACTATATACTCTATATAATCATCGTTGGTAGTGCACCAACGCATTTATGTTAGTATATCATCGTTTATCTATAGCCGAGGTTTCGGGTAGCGACCCCATTCCAGACATCAGATCAACACCCTTCAAATTAAAAAATATGAGAAGAGTTCGGTATGCTTTGTTGTGTAGCAATAACATTCTTTTCACGGTCTTCATACTATTCTGCGACCCCAATAAAAATGCTTTGCGGCCCAGGGGTTGGGAATTCTAGGTCTTCTAGTCTTCTTACCCCATGTTGCTTCGCGTCGATACTGGTTTGTCCATGGTGATCTGAGCAGAAACAACCTGCTGAATTGATGGCTAGATTTTGATTACATATTTTCTGAGAGGTTTCATTTTTGGAAAGGAATCAACTTCACAATGTTAAAGGTATTGCGATCGTTTTCTTAATCCTTGACTACAATAGCGTCCTTTCTTGTATCAAGGAATGCAGCGATTTTATTGGATTATACTCTAGCAGATTACAACCAATCATAGCCCTCGACAGACAAACAGACTGTAAAAATTACAGCTTATTGCTTAAAGATTTTCAGTTGAGAACTCTTATTGGCTGTATTCGCTAACATACAATCAAACCAGAGCGCTTCACGTACAAACTTTCGAGATACAAGAAATGTGAAAACTGCAGTCAAGGTATAAGACGGATTTCGTATTAGCTTGACATTATATTGATAGAAAGAAATACGAGGAACAAATTTTGAATACTGTGAATAGATCCATTTTTCAAATACAAAAAGCAATTTACAGTATAGTTTGGTGAACTAAGTTTCCTTTCAATAAGTAAACACTGAAGTAGTTTATTGTTGTAATATTCATTTCGATGTATAGTCATAGGCATAGCTCTCAATATTTAAAGGGGGGAGTATCCACGCGAAAAATAGCCCTTATATTGGTCTACTTAATCGAACACTTAGTTTAGGTGGAATAGCAGGAATATTCCGATTGTAATTTACATAAAGTATTTAGAAAACCTCTTTACAATCCCTATACATATCCATATCCACTGTGAAATCAATGTCACCACACTTTTTATGGTGTTTTTGGTTGAGTAAGCATAAAATCTGTCAGATTTTCATGCCATTAGATTTTAAGCTGAATTCCACCAAATCAAAGATGACTAGTGTATCTAGCTCTGAAAATGCCGTTAGTCAGCTTATATCAACTAATATTACAAAATATTTTCCCTGTTAAAGTAGTACTCAATAGACTAAATGTAGCGATATAGAAATATAGAGATATCTCAAAAGAACCCTGATACATGTTGATTCTCACAGTCTGAAATAGGTCAGTTGTATAAAATTCACACAGCGTGAAACTCTGAGTAACCACATGTTTCAGGTCCTGTTTAAACATTTCTACAAATACTAATATGCAAACCAATTCTTTAGTAACGAGAAATATACGGCTAAGTCCCATGAGAGGAGAATAGTGGAGATATTCTAAATTAAAAAAGAATTATTTCCACAGCTTAAAACAATTAACCTACATCATTGTATTCGACCAACCAGAAAATGGATATTTTGATGAAATAAGCCTATTCAAACAACTACACGTTGTATAATTGTTCAACCAAAAACCGGTTAATGAACTTCAAACATGACTCATCAGAACGAGATTATGGAATCCATTGCTTGTTTGTTGTGACAAGTAATATATCCAGGTGAGTAACGGAATTGATCGGTTGACAGAATATTGTCTCCCACCTGAAGCCCCCCTCCCCCCCCCCACCAACCCCCACCCAAACATAGACATATACAACAGTAATACAATTCTTAATGAACTCAAAATTCATACATTCCCCATCTTATGACACGTTAGCTTTCATTAAGTCCTTTGTTGGTTTCTTCCGAAGCGACTCTTTCATAATCTTGTACAAGAGAACGACACAATACTTCAGTAATGATGCATTGCATATATTGTCTAAGATATCATAACACCTTCCGTTACCATAACCTAGTGAAGACAGTCTGAAAGAGCTCCATTGTGTTCAGGTGTTCAGGTGTTTTTTTAGAAATAAAATTCGACATCGTGTTCGTGTGTAATTAAGGAAAAACACAAAACATTCTAAATCAGAGTTGTTTTTGATAGCGTCCAGTAGCCATCGATTGAAATAAAATTGGTTTGTTGAAACTTTCTTTAATTATATGCAAGACAGGTGCCGGATTTTCATTTTGAATTGTGATACTGACAGGTTAAAATTGGGGTCCTTTAGCTGGAGAAGCAACTTATATTTCTTTCAGTTTTCAAGGAACATTACTTAAACTCACCTTGTTGGTTTGGTTCCATATGTGGACGTTGTCTGTTTGTTGGTGGATTTTGCTAAAGCTCGTAATGATGAGATGAAATCTAAATGACCCGCTGTTTTAGATGTAACTATAGAAAATAGGGTCCAGTTATATCTTTGTAACAATGAAAACATAGCTTTAGTTTGGTGATGAATGGTTGGCGCTATTTGTAAGGTTCTGGATTCTATTCGATTCTGAAAACAAAACAAAATGTTCACTATATTTACGGGGAATATAAAGGGGTTTTCTAAACTTATTATGTGTATCGAGGCCAACGATAGCATTATTTTGCATAATTCTAATTTTCAGTCTGTAATATCTGTCTGTGGTTTCTGCAATTTTACTTAAACTGAGTGTTTATGATGTAGTTATCGCACAGGCCTTCAGATATTTTAGCAGCTTTTGCAATAGCTCTTAAACAGTTTTCTGTAATTATTAAGGAACCACAGTAATCTGATAGATAATAGATAACTGAATAATGCAAAAAAGAAACCATTACAGGCACCAATACATATACAGTCCACAGCTTTTAACAGTTACTTTTCTGCACTATGTGGACTAATGAAGACGGTCAAAGCCATTCAGGGTACAATGAAGGAAATTTTCCCAAGACAGCGGCATTAGCCTGCTGTTTTTCAATTTCCAACTGTCGAGGGATCTTTAACGCACACAGCCTGTAGCACACAGGTCGTCGGTTTATTGTCCCATCTTTTTCCACAGGGGGAGACCGGAGCATCCATGAAAGCCTGATCATTGTGATGGAAGGTTTGACTAAGAATAAAAGTGATATTAGACAGTAGCTTATATCTAATTCTCTCGATTCAATTTTTTTCTTGACAAATACTCCTACCCTCTCAAATTACATACTCATTCAGACACACGTCTTTTCCTGCTATAACCAATGTCATCCCCCAGCAAAGTCGCACATTGGTCGTGGCAAGGCATGCAATTTCACATGTTCCTTTAGCAAAGGTACGATGATTATTCACATATAGCCGTTGCTTGCATCACCCCACATTCTCGTCATTGGAGACTAATAGTCTCCCTTTGCAGACCATACCTCACCATTCAACTATCATTCAGGAATCTCGTCATATTTGGAGTAAAAGGATGGTGATTGAATATGGCAGACTCGATAGAACCATTGGAAACTTGCTGGTTCGCACCAACACGCTTCTCGATCAGCGATCGATGTTAAACTTGACAGAAAAGTATTAACACGTTCCCTTAATATTCTCCCCATTTTCAGGTGGGATTTTCCCCGGTAATGATGAAATGGGAGGGGACATAATTCATTTGTGTAGTCGTACTTGCTTTGTCAAGTCATTGATTCGCAAGTCATTCGATTATATGTGAATATTATTCGAGGAGGCGTAAAGATTGAAGTTTTTTTTTTCATTCTTGCTCTGAAAACTATCAAAGCTATGACAACAACTCAACCATGAACATATATAGATTTAAAAGAAATTAAATTTGGTAATTTTGCGTCCGGTTATTCAAGCATTTTCCCATATGTTGTTTGAAAATAGCCATTTCAGTGCTTTGCAGCCAAGCTCAGTCTTTGCGGATTGTTCGGTCACTGTACACCCATAAGTAACGTACTTTATACAAATGCACGCCCAACGTTTGAGTTTAAGGTATTACAATTTATGCGTGCCAAATTCTTGAAAAATTTGATATTCTCTACAATGTAGCACGCACCCTTTGCACGCTTGTTCATAAAGACTTAAATCATCGAAGTACGTGTTATTGCTCAAACATATATCTCGCAAGTGTCAGTATGACTTAATAGCATGCCGATGACAGTTTAAAGAGCTTTCGTAATACTTCACGTAAATCAATCTGATTCTTATCATTCTTTTGAAAATTTTTCTTAACGAAATGTGGAAAGAAATTGAAATCCTATTTCCAGATATTTAAAACAATAAATCACCTGGTGACTGATCGTGGACAAAAGTGAAGTACGTTTCCACTAGAAAATTATACTTCTGTTTTAAAAGCAAGGCTAATACTTGCAATGTGAACTTTTCATATCACGTTAAATCATATAATATCATATCATTTAGTAAATTATACATCTGTTTTAAAGGCGAGGCGAATGCTGGCAATGATTATTTATCATATATCATATCATATCATATATTATTATATATCATATCATATCATATCATATCATATCATATCGAAAAAAGAAAGGAAATATTTTCAAGCCTTGCATCGGAAGACGGAAAATTCTGGAATTGTTTGGAATTTTTCTTAAAAGTGTCTGAAATTGCAGGAACCAGACATAGAACAGTTCATCGGATAATAATATCTATACATGTTCCTGATGAAAATGTTTGAAAACTAATTGCTTAGAAAGTAAAACATTCTCCGAAATATTATAAGGTTAATCTCTAAGATGCATATTGAGTCATCGACTATGACTGAATTTGTCAGTGGATTGTGATTTTAGACACTGAAGAAACTAATATGCTTTACTACACTGCTAAAAACAATAGTCGTTAAAGAGATTGTAAAGAGGTTTTCTAAATTTTGTTTGTGTATCGGAGACAATGATAACATCAATTGCAATTTTCAATCAGACGTCAGTGGTTCTCTCAATTCTACTAAAGAAAATGTTTTATAACGTCACCCCCACTATGTATTATGTGATACAAGCAAATTTCGCGAAGGTGAAGTCATAAAACACTTAATTTTATTGGAATCGCAGGAACTACAGACGTATGATTGAAAATTGGAATGGTACAAATCGTCCCCGATACGCATGGGAGATTTAGAAAACCTCTTTACAATCTCTTTAAGTGCAGCACTTGTAGCAAGAGAAAGTTTATGTAGTAGACGACAAAGTAACATCTGTTGTTACAGTCAATGGGTTGTCATTACAAATCAGTTGTAAGAAGTGTATTTATCTTGGATCATTGACAAGACTAGTGGCATTAAGTACTGATTACATTCAACATGTAGACCAACTTCACACATTTCTATTTCTTATTAATGTCTTCTGACTGTTGGACGAGTTGGAATCGAGAATTTACTGACTATAGACTTTTTACTTTAATCGGTAAAGCGTACTAATTACTTATTAAATTATATTGGTGAAATTTGGAATATCAGCTTTTAAATAGACTCGTTTCTTTACTGCCCAAAAAACTATTTGCTTTAATCGGTAAATCGTACTATAACCTATTAAATAATACTGATGTGATTTGAAATATCAGCTTTTAAATAGACTCAGATCGTTTCTTTACTCAGACACGACTATTTGTTTTAATCGCTAAATCGTACTAATTACCTATTAGATTGTGTGATTTGGAATACGAGCATAAAAATAGTCTGAAGGTGTGGACTCACGAACGGTCTTGGCCAGCGATGTTCGTCGCCAATTCGAATCTTGAGTAAAATTTCGCGTGTGCCCGTGCTTTTACGACAGGATTATCGCGTTCCCGACAAGATTTGTAATATCAAACAAGTTTGATAATTTCTCCGATAGTTTTATCTTCTGCAAGACAGATTGTCATCAGCCAATCAGATTCAATTTCCTTTCAATTGCATGTGATTATCGACATGGTGGCAAACGACCGACTGGAAATTTTACCTTCTCGTGTTCCCGTGCCGATTGGTGAATCTCTTGACAAGAATCTAATCGGTTCAAGACCATTCATGAGCCCACACCTTTAGAATGACTTTCAGAAAGACATAAAACATTTTGAAAGTTAATTTCAGCTGAGTTATTTAGGGTAATTTCAGTTGAGTTATTTAAGGTAATTTCAGTTAAGTTATTTAGGATAATTTCGGTTGAGTTATTAAGGGTAATTTCGGTTGAGTTATTAAGGGTAATTTCGGTTGAGTTATTTAGGATAATTTCGGTTGAGTTATTTACGTTTAGATTTTTAAGGGGGGAATTTAGACGTTTCACTTTAATCGGTTTATTACTTTGATTAATAGATTATGTTAAGGTATTTTGGAATATGAGCCATCAATAAATAGTCTTAAAATGACTTTTACAAGGAAAAACATTACTTTGAAGAACAATTTTCAGTTAAGATATTTAGGTTTAGAATTTTAAGGGTTGAACAAGTTTCTTTATACTGACGAAAGACGTTTTGGTGTAAATCGTATTTTACCGATTCGACTATTTTTATGTAAATTGAAATATCAGCTTCACAAAATATTAACAGTTTTAAAATGACTTCAGATACATGAAATAGTCATTTTGGAATTTGTTTTTGTAGATTGTATTTTTCAGTTAAAAGTTTAGATATTTTTGTTTAGATTTTTTAAAAGTGAGATTCGTTGCTGATTGGAATATCAGCTGCGAAATAAAAGTAATAGTCTTAGAATGACTTTGTTTTCAGATAAACGACAAACATTTGTTTTTATACAGAGTTATTTTCAGTTAAATGTTAACATATTTTCCTTTGGAATGTGAAATTACAAAAAAATATATTTCTATCAAAGCTATTCCATTGAAGCTGATTCTAATTCGCTTGCACATAATCTATCGATAATTTGAGGCCAGGTAGCCATATGAGCCAGATGTCAAAGTCAAAATGATATGGTCGTCTTAATACTTGCTATGCCAGCTTATAAGAGTTTAATTTTACCTTCCGGTTTCACTTTTTAGATTTAAAAGGAAGGTTATATGGCAGTATCTGAAAAAAAAGACGACGCGTCTTTTTAACTTTCAAACGCGGATAATTCTGGACTCAGATGGATTTGAAGGCTCAAATTTCGACGGTTTACTTTAGGTAACAGTTTCATCTAATTTACTTGTTCATTGTTTAGAACTGTATTTAAAGGGACAGATGCACCATTTGTTTTTTACCAACCACAGAAACGAGATTTGTTTTTTAGCTAAGCCAATCAGTAGTAGTAGTCATAGCTCACCGTCGAAATTTGATTGCCTTTAAAAATGTTGACGAATATTTTTATGCAATTGCGGGAGAATTTAAGTTCAATTCTGAATAGTATAATAAGAATAGCTGCAATAGAGCTATTTGAGAAAATTAAGAAGTATAGAGGACTATCTTTTTTTGTAGAGGACACGTGTTCTAGAACTAATCTGTACTGATTATAAACGTTTTATAGATCGACTGATTGTCAGTGAAATCTTAAATCGTCTTTAATACATTAAGTCTAGATGTCAGAAAAACAGACATCAGGAAGCCGAATTCAAGCACAAATACAATGGTTTCCATCCTACGTGATTTTAAATGTCACACAAATTAAAAATACTAATGATTTTCACTCTCTAGCTGTCAGAAAACATATATTTCAATGTGTATTTATAGATGTACCTTAAGTCTAAAATTTGGTGGCATCGAATAACTATAGAACTAGTAAGTTGGCTTCTAAATTCGCTTCCGTATTGTATTAATGGCAACATATTACAGAGAAATTTCGATACATAATTCATTAGACTACATTAGCAAGTCTTTATGACTGGCGGCGTATGAAGTGATCGAGAAGTCATTATCTTCCGAAGAAAGCATTATTAAAACGAAACCCAATCGCACCATAAAGATGACGTCAGTTCGCTTTTAAAGGGAGGTAACTATAATTCTAATATTCTATAATAATTTCCACGGTGGGTTAAAGGTTTAAAAAAAAATTCAAATTACAATATAAAATCTATATAACTGCTACTGTCCTAAATGATAAGACACATCCCGGTAGATCTGTATCCCTATATGGATTTTTCGTTTCGTTTCTGCAGGTGATTTTATTTCCATCTATTTCCATCGATATTGTTATACATGTCATGTTCAAGGATATACGATATGGAATACTCTGTTCACAAAACACTACATATTGATATCTGGGATATTTATTTATAAACTTGACTTGGACTCTTATCGCACACTGTCTCTTGCTAAGAGAATGGTATTTTTCAGATAGATACAATCAACTACTGTTGCGGCGTGGTTTCTCAACTCTGGAAATTTCTAAAATTATTACCGTGTACTTTAATTATCTGTAAAGACTCCAGATGTTTAAGGAAATGTTCGGAAGTATTGGTCTAATCAAATAAAGCATTAAAAATTCATGACATTTGTTGGAAACTCTAGACATTTTACAAAAAATATTACCAAACATTTTATTAAATCACAGGTTTTGAGCCATATTTAGATTAACACTGATAATGGACGTGTTATTCTGTAATCTAGTTAATAACATATTAATAGAAAGTGAGTGAAGACTGCAGAAGGAAAAAAAAATCCAGACTTTGGATAAAAGCAGAAAAGTCTGAAAACCACAAGAAAATATTTTAACAGCGACAGTCGGACAAAAAGAGATGTTTTCAACTTTTGAATATAGCCCGGGACACTTATGGTCTCTATTTGTATCATTCTGATTTCCGATTGGACATCTGTAGTTCATGTTTCTAAAGGGGTATCTCGTTTTATTTCCAGCTATACAAACCCCAGCCCCTCTGAACAGGATCACTTACTGCAAGCTGTATTGATCAGAATATTGTGTTAAAAAATATCCTACAAAATGAAGGTTTAATAATTTGAAACGACTGACGTAAATAGAGTTTGCAACCCTCAAGGGGGATAACTTAGTTTTTTTTAACAAATCTATTATTGCCCCATCACACCGAAAAAGGCGTTCTTACTGCGTTGCTACTGCGCAGGAAAATTGGGTCGAGCGTGTTTAATAAGTTCGGTATATGGGCGTGGGCCATTGTGCAATAGTCCCCATTGTGGCATAACTCGTAGTATGAGGTCGTCTGTAACTTTTAGGGACTTTGTCTCTAGTTTTCTTCACACTACCGAGACCTAGTATATTTCATTTCGCCGAAAGGCACATATTACTCTCCGACCACCCTACCTGCACCACCTGACAGGAAGAAACCGAGTTGAAAATTCCAAAGGTATTCCACAATTTTAACCCGAATATTAGTTAAATGTGTCTTACTCGTTGAACCACCAGACATAAATATAAATTTCTTACCGTTGATCCTCCAGAATCTTCAGCATCCCATGTTATAAGAGGTATTCCAAAATATACACCCAAACTTTTCACATACTGGCTAGCTGCAGGGCGTCGTCTTATAGACATAGGGTTATTGATATGTAATATAGTCGTAGTATTTGACGGAAAAATTTCATCACAAAACGATCCAAGAATTTCCTTTGGACTGTCTTGTTTGAGTAAAGTCATTGTCACTAGGGGGTGGAATGTGCGGAACACCGTTCGATACCGCCGATCACGTTTGAAGGACATTAATTTGGTCAATATTATCCGCTTAAATTCTTCAGACCACACGAAGTGATTTGGGACCAAGGCCTGAAGGTTGACCTGAATTCGAGCACAGCACGAACGACACAGAATGGATAAGAGGAATATCAGGAAGAGTAGGAAACGTTTTGGAGACATGGTTCCTGGAGTATTGGAATGAACAGCAGCTATGGTATCCTTTAGTAATCCAGCTGTTCAGTGTCGTTCTAAAGCCGTGTTATCCGTGAACACTATGACAAACACATTGAATAAACATTCACTTAATTTTCACATATATAATTGCTGATTAAATCTCACAAATCAATAAATTCCATAGAAGGTTGCAAGTAAATAGGTAAAATTTAGAAGCATTATGCCGGTACACCTCCTCGCTGATATCCAGAATGGACTTTGAAGGAACTTAATTGTTGGCAGTCTTGAACGAACTCATCACCGTTCTCACACATACATCCATTATGATCAAAGGAATAATAATAGTGCAACAATATCTTTAACAATTTCCCCATGGACACATGATGTCACAACGTCACAGCTTTATGTGGGCAAAATCATCTGTTGGCAGACGTGCTTGTCATCACATTTCTATTTATAGCCTGGTAAATGTCACCATAGGACTAGAGCTTCTGAAAAAGAGAGACACACATATATTTAACTATCAATACAATATATTGGAGAGCAGGTGATTTTCACCAATTTAATCTAGTATCTTCTCAAATTATTACTGTTTCTATTTGTTCAGCCTTAAGAAACGTTGGAAAATAATAAGAGACGAATATATTGAGCTTGTTTTGAAAAGGTTCACAGATGAAGATATAGATCATATGTCTGAAAAGGAAATAGGGCCACTGACATTTTCCATTTTTAGTTATTATTGTACTATAAAAATGTTACTTAGACGACTGTTTTTTTTAGTCCGAAATGTGTTTGCCTTTACCCAGCCTTTTGTAGAATGACATTGGATGATCTAAGACAATAATTATGCAAGTTGTTTTGAAATTTTTTAGGGGGGTTGAAGGGAATTTCCGCATCCCCGAAGGTGAAATATAAGCCACTTTCTGTACCCCAAAACATTCACATCTATAGTTGATAGTAAAGATGTATGATTTGGCAGATGATATTTCTCTTAAAATCCTCCAGTTTACCAATGATACGTTTATGGCCTCATTAAACATTTAACAAAAAATATGTATCTATGTATCCCTTATAAATGACTGGAACAATAAAAGCTATATTTGATAGTGTCACGGACGAAACCGCTTTTAATAGATCAATATTTTGTTGCGACCAAATAACAAAAAGATAAGAATTTAATACATAAATTCCAATTTTTTTTTAACTAACATGTCAAGAGATGATTTATTACGACAAAATTTTAATATATTTTTTAATTAAGTAGAAATTTGATACCAAATGCATCTGATGATATCAATATTTTGGCAATTTCTTTCTAATATATAGACAATAATATACCATTAATCAACTGACCAGGATTTATTCTTATTGCTTTTTTTTATCCATTTGCATGAAATTCATTTCGTGATTGCATTCGGGCGTATGAATTATTGTTTACGTGCATTTCGGCATGAGTACGCAAGGCACAATTAAGGGGTTGAATTAGGTTATGTGAATGGCGCTAAAGAGGAGAGGAGAGGAAGATGAGAGGAGAGTAGACTTGTGTTGGCAGTGGCGTATTTTGGCTGTAATTTTTGTGCCATTAAAAATGAAATCCTGAAAGCCATAGACGCATTGGTAATGAATAATATACAACATTTGACATTATGCAGATCATTTGAATGAATGCAAGAATAATACACGTTACACTTGTAAAAAACGAATAGCATCCCGTTTAGCTTAATTGCCAATAGCTTTTCAACTAAAGTGTCAAATTTAACAATAATTGAAATTCCATTATTCAGAATTTATACCAATAGTATCAAGTTTAATTAACAATATTCATATCAGATCAATAACAATTTCCATGGTTCACTGGTTACATTCTATATTTATTAAGGTTCGGTATAACTGACAATTTATCATTTCCAATGAGTTCACAGTATTTTAATTTCAATTTTTAAATAATGTGGTGATGAATGAGTTTTGAAATCCAGATCATTTTATTTTGACGCTTGCTGACCAGTCTGAAGATTTGGTGCGATCCCATCTTTGGTCAAGGAAGTACGAGGTTTTAGGAGTTAGCAAAATCGGATAGAGCACTGGAAATTTCGTATGTTATTTGACTGGTCACGTCAATCAAATGTTGGTCGTAGGATCTAATGGATGTGTGAAATTGAATAAGTTAGTCGAGCGAGCTGTAAATGGGTGCGGATAATCCTGGAAAGATCAATGTCAAGAGGTTTGGTCAAATACTAGCTAGTAGAAACTAAGTAGTTTTAGAAACGAGAATTTTTTAGCTTAGCTTATGAGTAATAGTGTTCAAAGCTCAACGTCAAAATTTAAGCCTTCAAATCCACGTGTGTCCAAAATTATCCGCGTTTGAATGTTAAAATCATATACCGCTCGTCATTTCTTGAAACTCTGCCATATATATAAAAGTGAAATTCTTATTTTGAGATATTTTTGAACGAAATTTGCGATTTTCGTGCATTTAAAGTACTTCTGAATACTTTTTACTTACATTAAAGACCGACATCAACCCCAGAATATAGCGAAACTTTAACGATCGATCGCCCGAATATCAATTTTCATAAAAATCCAATCACAACCGTACTCTCTATCACGTTTACAGGCCATTTGTTAAAAATGTTGGACAAATCATGCAATATTGTGTTAAACTAACTTCCCACAGATCTCATCAATATACATAATAATCATTTCGTCTAAATCAGATAAGTGGTTGCCTAGCAAGATACGCCCTAATAAATTGTCAGTATTTCGACCCTTTGTCGCATAGAACACAAATTCGAATTTTTCCAAATCTCGTAAATATAACCTTCACACCTAATCGATTAAATCGAATAAAACAAATCTGTGCCCTCGAGCGTGTTTACTAGCCACATTTTACATTGTCAAGGGCTATAACTCCATTAACCTTTGTCGAATCGTACCCAAATTCGAACTTGTCCAAGATATTGTTGACATGAACCTTCACACCAAATTTGATAAATATCAGATAAAAGCTGTGGCGAATCGCTAATTTAGGATTGTGGACGGACGGACAGTTTGATGGCAATATACATCTAGAACAGAATGTGGGCGTCTAACAACTGAATCTCCGTCGTGTTTACCAGCAATTGTGGAAGAAACGGATGGGCGGACAGGGCTGGCACCAAAAACATCTAAGACATTATAATTTGGACATATACAAAGGACATGCCATACAAATCTATGTAGTCTAAAAGAGATTTGTAAAATTTAGATGTCTATAGACATGACGACACAATGTTTAAATAATCTGTTAATAATGAAATTAGGAACAATTTCAATTAAATTAGTGAAAACCAATCGATAGAAATTAAATAAGATAGCTGGAGACATAACACAATATCAGTTTTAGACAAGAAACATACACATTTATTTGAGCATTTGAAGAGAGTACTTTTCGCAGTGACGGTTCAATTTCGCTATCCGAGTGTATAAAGGTCATTTTTGGATTTTATATACACACGACTGAATTAAAGAGACAGATTCGCCACCCGTTTGACCAACCGTACGTTTATATCAGAAACGGGAATTTTCAGCTTATAGCTAACCAGTAATAATGTTCACAGCTCACCTTCGCATTTTGAGCCTTCAAATCATTGCGTGTTTAGAAATTCGCGTTTGGCGATTATCGTATATTTCTAGTTCTCCTGGAGATCAATTATTCAAGACCCTAATTAATCTCCGAAAATGGCAAATCTTTAACTATACACCAGGACAGATTTTCATTAGGTTTTAAAGGAGGTTACAAAACCTTAAAGAACTATTCGTAACTAAGCCGAAAATCCAATATGACACTTAATAAACAAAGTAGAAGAAGACATTCATTGTAACAAATGAAAATGTTAATTATTCCCCTTAGGTTGCAAATATATTTAAAAGAATCCACAAGAGCAATTTCTGTAAGCTGCCATCAAGTACACCCCACCCCTCCAACTGAATTCAATGGACTTCCAAGTCAGACTGAAGCGTTCAGTCGTATTGTTGAGACAATAAAACAGAAGCCTTGCTCGGAAGATTCAACCACAGATAAAAATCAAAAGGCAGTTCACGGTAGACTGTCCTAGCAATTTAAAAAATGTACTTACGGCAATTGAATGAATAATACTGATAGAAACAGACCTACCAGAACTGTAGTAATTTATATCTTATATAGTCCAGTTCTGTTTTAATATTTCTATATCTATGTATACAGTTAGCTGTAATAATGTATATAGATAAATGGCTATTGTCAATTTACCATCAGTGGAAATGTATAGAATGATGCAGCTGTCACCATCCTTGCCAATAAAATGACTGAATATCATCAATTTCATTTATATTAATTTATCTATTCATCTGTAAAAAAAAAATGCAATTAAAAAGGCCAACCAAAATATGAGATATTCATTTCTACTATCTTTTTATATATCTATATATGTCATTTTATATATTAGCAACTTGCCGAGCTATATTTCTTGAATTTGTCAGTCTCCTTCTTAATATCTGCGACGAAAAAATCCGTAGTTGTGCTGTGGTTTATAAAAGCTTTACGACAAAATAGGAAGTGATCTGGCACGTTTGATCGAAAAACGGGTGTATACTCTGGTGATGATCTGACCATTTATAGTGACCAAGCTTAAAGGTCAACCAATTCCGGTCATTCTGGTCGCTCGCCTTAACGTTCCTGTAGGCTACGTTTGCAGGATCCGCAAGAATTACCCCAGTGCCATGAAACAACACGTCAAGATAATACGATGCCGTCAAAAGATGGGCTGACTTGG